TAGGAACCTGATTTAGAGGCAATAAAATGCAATCAGTACACAAACCAGAAGCAGGAATCATCTGCTAATGGAACTTTTAATTGAGGAGTGACCAGTGACATGAGGTAATTCTTTCCATGCAGAACTCCTTGCAGAGACCTCCATGCACTTTATCACGGTAAACAATCGCTAACATATGCATTAAAGAAAATTTAAATACATTATGACCCAATAAATATCACAATCAATCAATACACACTTTTCCTTCCTGAAGATTTAGAGTTAAAATACCACATTTTGGTAGTCTTTTAGCACTAGACATATATTTACAAGGTTAGTACTAACATAGCTATTTGTAATCAAAAGATAATTGGTTATGTTAAATGAACCAGTACACAAGGGGACTGCTGGGCTGAATAACCATGTCAGAAAACAGATTCAGAATAGCTTACATCTACCTTCATAATAAGGAAATAACTTCCACAAACAATCAATTTCACTCTCTTACAAATCAAAAAGAATCTTAATTAAAAGGACAACAAGCAAAAGGAAGGGTTGGCCTAAAAACGGAAAGAAAAAATAATTAAAAAAAAAAACAACCCCAAACAAGAAAAAAATCTTCAGCCATGAGAAAAACAGAACAAGAGTAGTAAGTACTGTGTTTGATGCACCATCCTACTAAATACTGCAATTACACGATGTCCAGTTCTTCTAATTGTTGAGTTTTCTTGCTTTTTTTCCATACATGCTTCTGGTTCAAAAAAGGTATACAGAAACACTTGCTTTTAGTTTGCAACTCTTTACGTGCAGATTTAAGATCTTAGGATCTGATCCAGATACTGCTGTGAAAAGCTCCCATTGATTCAAACTATTTTAGACAAGGTCCCAGAATAATTAAGAACTGCTTTAGTATTTCTGCAAAATCAAGATGTTGGTAGTCTTCAAACTGCACCTTCTAGCCAGGAATTGTATTTTGCACAACAAATGAACTCACCTTCAACAGCACCATGCAAAGCTATGAATTCTAACTACATGGCATACTTTTTAAGATACAGAAAAATAGTCTGAGTGTGATTAACAATTCCATGTTTAAGTTCCACCATTAAAGCAATAACAATCTACTACTATACTTAGTTCTTTATACTGCCTTCCCAAACATCTGAGATGAAACTAAGTTCTGACACAACAAATCTGAACCTTTTCAGAAATCCAATGTCTTCCACAGACCGCAGACTGTTTTACTGCTTAGGATAAGAGATCTAATACTATAAGGCAGTTCTTATGTTCTTCAGCAAAATGAATGCACAACTTCCTTGTTCTCATCAATGTGCTAGAATAAGGAAAGAGAACTGGAGATGGCTGAATTCATTATAACTGAAGTTGTTGAGTGCATTAGACTAATATCTCCAGCTTCAGTGTCAGTCTCTTAGAGGTGCGAAGGCATCCATTGCAGAGCCATGTATACAGAAACTAGCAAGCTTATGTCCAAAAGGAAGGAAACTATAAAAAAAGATAATTATTTCTGTGGGTTTCCTGCCATATAATTAAACTAATGCTAATGTATCATCAAACATAACTAAATTACCATAACAATTATCTATACTTGATGTAAACTAATTCTAAATGCCAAGAATGGGAGCCAAGTGGATGGATCCAGGCCATCAGTGCTTTCTGGTGACAGGACAAGGGGCAGTGGGTACAAACTGGAAAACAGAAGACCTCAACATGAGAAAAATCTTCTCAGGGCATTGGCACAGGTTGGCCATTGGCATCAGGGCATTGGCACAGGCTGCTCAGAGCAGTGGAGTCTCGTTCTCTGGAGATACTCAAAAACTGCCTGTATGCTCTCCTGTGGAATCTACTATATGGAACTGCTTTAGCAAGGGGTTGGACTAGATGAGCTCCAGAGGTCCTGTCCAACCCCTGCGGTTCTGTCATTCTATTCTTCTGGACACTGTGTTGAGGGACAAGGTTTAGTGAGAACTATTGGTGATCGGTAGATGGTTGGACTGGGTGATCCTGTGGGTCTTTTCCAACCTTGGTGATTCCATGAGTCTATGATTCTGTGAATGTCTTCTTCCTATCACATTAATGACACCGAATAAAAAAGCAGGAAATGGAGAAAGACAATATAGTTGGTATACAAGACTCAGCTTAGGCGTGAACATAATGAAGTTCAGATTTAAATTCTGCAACTGACACTGTTTTCCTGACCCGTGCTTCTGTTGAAGTGGTTCACAATGTTTCCGACGTTCCGTGTTTGCAGCAGATATTCAAAAACCAGTCGAGAGAAAACCCTCACTTCAGATTCTCAGGTGCTGATCCCAAATTCCCCTGCTCCGGTTCTGTCGCTCCAAGATTTGGCTGCCTGCCAACACAACTTTTGCTGGTTCTAAAGAATCAAGTCTGCTACGCTGCCAAAGCTGCAACAGGAAAGTCTGCACGTGGAAAGATTTTCAGCGCTGATATAATATTACTGCTTGCGGAAAGCAAGCTAACCAAACTGGGTGTTTGCTTACTGCCCAATCATACCTCCTGTGAGAGCAAAAGGATTGCAACATCCCATCCTCAACTGTGGAAGTGCACATGGGTCAGGTCTTTACTTTTCAGAAAGGACAAAGAAGGATTTGGGGACAGGACACCTTTGTCTGAACGTCCCTGACAGCACATGACACTGTCAGCTCTCTCTCAGGGTTCAGGAAGCCAGTACTGTTCTTCCAGTAGGGGAAATGAAAAGGTTCCAGCTGCAAAGCCCTCCGGTGGTGCGATACCACTACACAATGTGCTTGTGGTAAGCTTAGCTTCTGCTTTCAGGAAAAGGAGATGAAACTGCTTAAAAAGCTCTGATGTTAAAATAATATTTACATTGTAGAGCAAAGTCATTGAAAGTTGAGAAACGTAAACTTTGGAAGTGTTTGAGTAGCTGTTGGTTAAGCAAACTCATTTCTATATTGGTTGTTTTTTTGTTGTTTTTCTTTTTTTTTCTTTTTTTTTTTTCTTTTTTAAGAATGGTTTCACACAACATAAGCAATTACATGATCACATGGTCTTATTTTTTTTTTTACAAGACCTTTTGCTCATTGAGCCATCAGTAAAAGCTGCGTGGACAGCCACGCAGTCTGTGCAGGATGGATTTGAATTTCTTCCCTAACTACAAAAGTACAATCTAGACAATTACTAATTCATTCAAGGTTTACAACAATTTTTAAACACACAATTTTTATATGCAAAATTTTTAAAGACAATTTCTAAGTCTTCTGATGTTTCTATTTCTTAGCTGATCAAGTAACACAGAAGATGCCAAGCTGTTAAACAATTTCCTGATGAGAATAAAAACTGAATTAGGTGCAAGCCTACAGTACTGAAAGCTGAGTGGTGGTTACCAAGAGACAGAGAATTTTGATCAATTATTATATTTTAATGCATTTGTTCTCTGGTAGTGTTGAAACTTGTTAAGTGAGAGTTTTCAGTGGCAGTGTTCTTTACATACCAGTTTCCACAAATAAGAAATTGCTGTGGATGCCTGATTGTTTCCTTTGCAATATGTCTGCTATGTTTGCAAAGAGGCTTTTAATAACCTACTATTGCTCTCAAACAACCCTGTGCAAAGCACAAAATGGGCACATTTCTGAAAATGGGTGAGTGAGTGTTCAATAACTTAACTGAGACCACAGGTTTTGAACCGCACGGCCGTGCCTTATCTTCCTGTTGAATTCATCAGGTCTCTAAATACATGACTAAAAAGGTGTCTGTGCAGCTGGGTATGGGTAATTATTAAATGATGCTGTCAGTTCATACCTTACGCAAACATTCTGCAAATACAAAAACAATTTATGCCTTCAAGAAGTTAAATAATAGACCTCCTGATTTTAAAACGACAAAAAGCTGTACTTGCAGCAATTCTACAGGAGATAAAATACCCCCTACAACTTCTGTCTGCGCTAACATTTGAAATTCAATTATAGAAAACAATGTGTGCTTTTGTCAGACAAAATTAAAGATTGAAAGTTACAATCATTTTATTGACAAGACTCCTCTTGCAACTACATGTACAAGTCTATAGGGCCAGACTACAATTTCTTCCAATCTAAGTCATTCCATGATTCTATGAACTACAAAGAACAGCAATCCATCTCAGCAACACGTTTGTTGACATACTCTTAAGCTTACAGGTGGATTAAAATAAGGACACCAACCATACGTGAAATCTCACTGCAGGACTTTAAGCCCCAAAATACTTCATGCATCTAAGTGAGACTTCATTTTTAATACATTCCATTTTAGATAGCAGAGTAGCAATCAATACCTTTTTTTTTCTGAAATAGAACCTGTATTCTAAACTTTCTTTCACAATTACTAGCTTTAAAGAATAATTTCACGGACTCATAAATATTCTCAGTGTGAAATATGATCACAGACGAAAAATGAATGTAATAACGTAATGGTTTCTTTAAAAGAAATTTAAAAATAATCTAGCCCAGCACGTGTTTATCAGTCATTGAAGTCTACAACAGCAAAACAGCAAAAACTATAGCTTTCAAAAGATACAAAATACACATAAAAAAGAACCCAAGCAAAATTAGTAAAACTATTTTTAAATGCCTCATAAATATTGTAAGTGCTCATAGCAAATTCTGAAAATTACTTCAGATCCCCAGGGATGAAAATCTGAACTGGAATCAAATTTCAGAATGTCCCATGCTAAAAATCATCATCAACATAGCAGTCCTATAGGCTTCAAGCAAATTAACATTAAAAAAAGATAAACACAGAGATAGATGTGCACATTCTGTTCTGTTGCTAGTTAAGAGTATGTCAATTCCTCTGTGCTTTTGATGTAACTTACTGAAATGAATGAGAAAGTTCAGTAAGATGTGGAAATAATGCTTGGATCCAACATTCGAGAGTTATGAGGATCTTTCTACACTTGAGGAAAATGTCTCCCATCTACCCCATCCAAAAACATTTACTGAATAATTTCAGTACTATGATAGCTTTAAATTATATAGCACTGTTTTTACCTTTCCAAGCATTCTTCCAAGAAAGTAGTAATGTCGGGCATAAGAGTCTCCAACAAGCATCTGTGCAGCAGGATTGGGATAAAGAAGTCCCTCATTGGTGGTCTTAAAAAATCCCTGGTTAGGGTTAAATCCTGATTTCAGTAGTTCATTCAAAAATTCTCTGAAAATTCCACCACCATCAATACCAGCTTCATCAAGACCATGTGCATTAAGCAAGTGAACACGAATGCGCTTTTTTAGGTCAGGTTCTGCAGAGAAAGGAGAAAGAGACTCAAATGTAACTATCTCCTTGAATTTTTGCTTGCAACTAACATGTATGTTTCTATCTATGCTATTTGTATATTTAAAAAAAGACACTAGTAAGCAGTACTGTTGCAAAAATCTATTGGCTTGAATTTCAGGATATGCAATGTGTAGGACTCAATTTGCAAAAGGCATCTTGCTGTAAGAGAACTCAAAAGATGAATGAGAAAGACACTGGTAGGGGAAGAAAAATTCTCCCAAATATTTTCATAAGCCCCAATAATTATTTGAAAATTCTATTTATATAAAGCATTGTGAATGGAAGGTTCTACTCTGTCTTGTCTGAAGGAACCATCAGTAAGCACTGCATTCCCTTAGAGGGACCGACTGTTACACAACACCTTAATTAATATTCTTTGAAACCAAACTTAATACTTCTGCTACTTTGGACTCCATGCTATGGCATGTAATTCCATTGAGTGGGACCACTGTGTGGTCAAGTTTGATGTATTGTTTGTTTGTGATGTTGCCACATACTAGAAATAACCTTACAAGAGAGCATTTTTAATTTACTTGTTGATGGACAAATACTGTACTGTACACCTCTGCTTGCAACACAGAGAAACTCTACAAGGAGCAAGAGTGATACCCAACATCCGCAATCCTTCCCTGCCTTTTGCATACAAAAGGATGAAAGAACAAGAAATAACTAAAACTACTTCTCAGCCTGTTACCAAAGCAAGTGCTCCCACTCTCCTTTTATCCACCACCATTGTTCCTCCCTTCCATAGGTCCACTCTTCTCAACCCTGAAGTGATCCATTTCAGCTCATTGATTCAGCATTCATCACTTTCTTTGGATTACTTTCCTGCTTGCTCTGATAGATAACTGCTTACTCCTGGAAAAGAGCAAGGTCAGCACCACAGACAAGTCAGATACCCAAGCTGAGGAGCTGTTGCTCGCAAGGCACCATCAATATGTTAGCTCAACTCAGTTTTCTTGCAAAAATCTGACCTTAAACTTCAGCTGCCACCTGCCATTTCTCTGTTGGAAATGTGAACAGTTATTTGAGGTGGGGAGATGGCAGTAACACAGAAGTGGCTGGAATTTTTTCCTCCTACTTGACTGGAGATTCTCTCTGAATTTTTCTAATACGAGTCCCAGAGCAAGTAATATTTAGTCCTTGAACTGTGTGTGCGTACCTAAGAAGGTAAGCCCTTTTGCTCAACTCACTGAAGGCTTCCAGTATATAAAAACAGCTTTTATAATAAACCTTGCATCGACTATACTTACCTCCCACCATCAAACCAACCAATAATAAACAAGTAATAATAACTAATTCTACCTCTTCATTTCATGAGCTACAAATGCACACACTATGGATGGACAATTGAGATATCCATGAAAGAATGTTCAGCATCAGAATCTCTCCTGATTCACCAAGCATCAAGCTTAGTGAATACATCCAGATCTACAAGGAACTGCCCAGTCTTTTCACAAACTGAACTGTTTTTAAAAATTACTTATTAGTTCTTCATTCAGATGAAATGCTCTCCTGCACAAAAATTCTGCTAGCTAGAAGAACAGGACAGCCATTTTTAGTCACAGCCACTGCAAAAGATCTAGTAGCTCATTACTATTTTAATCAAGTAAGCAAATACGTAAATACCTGATGAGATGGACTAAATGCGTTTGAATTTGATGATAATTTCATTGTAAACCTACCATTTTCAGGAGAAAGTTTATCATAAGCATCTTCATAAATATAATTTCTCCTAATGGTGACATTAATTCCATCCAAAAATGGCCCATCTCCTTGAACTTCTTGTTTATCAGCATAGATTAGTCTTTGAAAAATCTGTTAAAATGAAAAAAAAAAAAAAAAAAAAAAAATCAAGTTACTGTACAGATCTAAACATCCAGTGAAAGATGGCTTTTCACCACTATTACTGCCCTTTAAGCTGCTTTGGGCGTTCACTTTCAAGTGATTTGTCCTCTCTGTCATCGAGCTCCAGAAATACAGAGCCATATCCCAGGGGAGGGAAGAAGAGGGGACAGACATGCAAAAACTTTCTTGTGCTAAGATATCATCCTCAATTCCTTCTACATAAAGAGGCACATCTACAGACTTTGTGTCAGTCATTCCAGCTTCCTCTCCCTAACTTTCAGAGTTCTGAAATGCAAAGTATTCAAAGACAAAGGGAAAAAATCATGAGTATTTTGAACACAGAGGCAATCCTCAGTACTAGTAAACAATTATTTTTGTTTTCATAATGCTTAGGAACATTTCCAGTATCAAGATATGAGCTGTCAGTACTCCTCTTGGAAGCAGTGAGCAAGTAATTCAGACTGATGTAGCGGATAGCATTGCCTGAATGTCATACCAACTAAAATAAAAAAAATAATGCAAGCTGAAGCATAGATTTAACTTCACATTGCCCCTGTGCAAGTCATCACAATAAGAACCCTTTAAGAATTCCTCTGAATAGTAATTGTAACTGTTTCTATACCAAGACGCAGCATGGCCGTTCTGCCTAATGCATGAATAATGTTCAAAATATCCCCAATACAGGGAGTATCTGTTTATTGATGTCCTCTCTTACATATTTCTCCATACTGAATGAATAATTCAGTATATTTTCTAAGAGATGTAATCTCCCAATAATATCAGATTGCTTTCGTAACTAAGAATTTTTGTTTTTTGCACAGATGTTTACACACAATCACACACACACATCATGAAAGTGGAAAATCTGACAACAGCAGACAACGCTAGAGTGAAATCTAAAATCTACTATTATAGGGATGCTATAATTAGCAAAGACAACTCTGCTGGTAGAAGAATCACTGTAGACAAAGCCAGACTTCCCTGTAGTAGCAATAGCAAAAAGCCAAGAAAAAAAAGCCATAAGGTGAAGAAACACTGAACAGACATAAAGAAAAAAGAAAAATCAGGAAGGGCACAGTTAAGCATTAGAAAAGATCATACAGACAGTCTGTGAAATCAGGACGATTGATTCTTAGTGTCATGATCTAACTTTGAATGTACTCCTAACTGAGGGGGGAAAGAACCTCAAAAAGTCCCCTATGATCTTAAACTTTCTATAGTTGAACGTCATCAAGATGCACAACCACGGGCACTTCCATTTTATGGACAGGGCGTAAGAACATGCTGAATACAATCTATTAACTATTACTACACAACACTAGGTGCAAAGAGTGATTTGATGGTGATTATCGCTGAAAAAAATTGTTTTGGTACAGTCTGGACTCCTAAATGATCCAATGTTCATGCAAGTGCAATTCCTAAAATCAGGAATGCCAATGCCTAACTGAAGTATTTGTAGTAACTTAATAGTAACAGATGGAAAAGTGCCTGAAGCACACATTGTAACATCAGCACTGGCAAGCTGACAATAGCATGGGCTAAGGGAAATGGACAGTGAGGCAGACCGAAAGTTGTCTGAACAACTGTACCAAAGGGTTATGAGCAGCAAAAGTCTACTAGGGGAAATCTCAGCAAGTGGTGTAATACTCAATAAAATTCAAGTTATTGCTTCCCATAAAGGATCAAGGTTCTTCATACGAATTTTATTTACTTGTAGTTAGTGATGAACATCTAACTGACAGCTGCATACTAGTGTGCTTTAAGGCCAAACAGGTAACAGACCATGGGATCAGCAAGCTGAACAGCTCACCAAGAAACTGGACTGAGTGATTGCTTATAAGAGTATCTAATATTTGGAAATTCGATGAAGTTAGAAAATGAAAGGATACACAGAGCAAACATGACCTTAACACCAGGCCTGTTATTATGGATGACAGCTAAGAGGGGGGGAAAAATCATAGTAATAATGCTATTTCCTACAAAACTACCTGCAGTAAAAGGAGTGGTTGGAGACTCCGCGAGCATGCTGTCTCCTACTGCTACACCAAAAGCACCATACTGGGTCTGAAAAGCAGTTTAAGAGGATCTTGTCTTTGAATAATGGAAGTGTGCGCTCTGGAGCTTTACCCTTCTGACAAACTCCCAAACAATTTTTAATGATTGAAAAGATGCCATACTCCAAAATGAGAAGCTAAATTTCAGTTTTTGTGATAACAGAAAACAGGTTTTATGAATTCCAGAAACTTAAGATACGTACAACTTAAAGCTTTATGAGCCTAGAGGTTGTAGACAGTGACAGAATATTAACACAGATTCCTGCTTGACGTCACTTCCAATTGTTTTGCTGTAATCCCAGTTCAGTTCTGTCACATGGTATTAAGATTTTTTGTGGGAACAACTGTTTCACAGAAGCCTGAAAAAAACAAGTCCTCTTCCACTAAATCTGCCATTGCCTTTTTGACAAATACTGATTTACTTTCCCTATGGAACTGTTCTTCATTCCCTTGATGGTGTCTTGTAATTAAATGTTTCCAAGACAGTTCACTTTTTTTTTTTTTCTTTTTTTTTTTTTTTTTTTTAGTATTTGGTACTTTTGACAACAAAAGCAGTTCAAAAAGCCTTATAACAATTATAGCTGAAATATATATATATACACTGTAAACTGAAATAGCTGATAGAAGTAGCAATTATACATTCAAAATCTAGAAAGCACACAAAAATGAGTCAAACGGTACAGTAACCTTGCAGGTTTTAAACCACATCATTCTTCACATTCAGTTACTGAGACACTGAGTGAAAAAAAAAAAAAAAAAAAAATCTCTAGGCACTGTTAAAATGGACATCTATCAACTTGTTCTGAGTAAATTCACCCACAGCACCAGCCCCCGTTGTTGCGCCTGCAATTAGTTTGTAGTAGATACACAAGCTAGCACACTGCGTGCCACAAGAGGGTGCAATCACGTAGATCAACCAGGAATTAATGCATCATTGCTCTCATATCTTGGAATCTGTGTTCCTAATTTTAATACATTTAGTAGAAAAGACAACAGAATCATTGCAAAAAAAAAAAAAAAAAAAAAAAAAAAAAAAGAATCTGACTTCATATATTCAGTTGCTACATGAACAAGTATGGCATGTCAGATACCTCTGCAGAGAAACACATGCTCTTTTAAGCTTATTGAAAAACAAAAGGAAACAATCTCAAAAACCAAAACTACACATTAATTTAGAAATTAGGTACCTTTACTCTTTCTTCAAAAGGAACGACAAAAGGTAGCTCTGTCAGAATTGCAAGCTGTCGTTCTTCAGATACAGAAAGAGGTGCTGGTTCCAAACCCACTTAAAATAGAAATAATACTTTTAATCATTTTGGAAACAATGTTAAACAATTGTCTTTTTTTTTAATATCAATTTACTTTGCATTAAAATACAAGTACTAAAATAGTTGGTTTATGAGCAGTAACACAAAGCCTTATCTTTCATTACATATTAGGCAACCAGAAATAAAAAGCAATCTGAGAACAAAATATATGTAGACATATTCACGTTTAAGTTTTCTTCTGAAGAAAAGTTGTTGTTGTATGACTGAATTTTTAACTTTTTAATTAAACATCACAGAAGATAAGTAGTAGAAAAAGTATAAAATTATTATTTTAATCACAGGAATACACAATATTCCCATCCCAGTAACCAAAAAGTGTGAAGAGCTTTCAACTACAACATCCACTTTCAAACAAACTCTTTTACACATTAAAACATAAGAATTAAACCAAATCTAAAGAAATCAACAGAAAAATAGCATTTGTTTCTCTAGGTTTTCTCTCCTAATAGCAAGGCTACAGTTATCACATGAAATCTTAGTTACTACAGAAACACTGCCCTTCTACAACAGAGCATCATGGCAATGTTCACCGATGAGACATTTTGTAGAGGAGTTTGGTTTTTGTTTTGTCAGGCTTTTTTGGTTGGGGGAGGTTTGTTTCTTTGATTCCAGTGCCATTTTAACTCCTCAAAGCACTTTAAGTAGGGATATTATAGCCACTAAGTTAACAGGATGCACTACAGGATGCACCCAGTGCACTACTATACCTGATGTATACTCATTTGGGGAAGGAAGACTGCAAGACTGTGGAATTTCTGAAAAAATACTTATCTGTGATTACTCTCAGTTTCTTAATTAAAAGTCAGTGTATGCTGTCTATTAAGCTAAGGATTAAAAGCATTTTAAATAAAAAGTGCATGTACAGCAAAGGTAAACTACTACATGATTTCGGTGGTTCAATTATTCCGGTCAATTAGTCAATTTTATCTGCATTTCTCCATCACAGCTTCTTTCTTTAAAGAGAAATATGAGACAGAGTCATCAATACAGAGGGCATTTAGAACTCACGAGTCTGCCATTTAGGCAAATGAAAAAGTGCAAATAAACACGGCCATATGCGATGCAGCCGTACTTTCATGCTAATTGGCTTCATCCCGTATGGAGTCAAGAGGGCTTGCACAAGTCACACACACACACTTAACACGAATGTGTGAAAACAAGCAGCTGACTGCACTGTTTTTGGTCTGCTTTCTTATCAAAACGATATTTACATCCACAGTGTATTCTTGACCCGTTCCCTTCAATGCACCTTTGAACTAGACGGATGGATTTTAAATTTAACAGAGAAACAGGATTCAAAAATACTCTAGTTTTAAAAAAAAATTGCAACTGGCTCGAGAACAGAAATTCCCTTGATGACCAGACTACAAAAAAAGCAAGGAGATCTCAGTTCTTATCGGCCCAGTACATCAGCTTACATGTTTGTCACCCAATTCAAGTTAAGTCATGAAACAGAGGGCACTGATGCAGTTATGGGAAGGGAAAGAAAGGAGCGAGCTCTAAGTGTTGCAAATCTGCGGGGAAGGAGACTAAGAGGAGGCTAGCAAGCTAGGAGGAGGATGAGAACCTGGGAGTAACAAACATGGAACAGCTCTAACAGGAGGAAGTTGCATTTGAAAGATGCTGAGACAATACAGCGTGGCAATACCTAAAAACATACAGATTTTCAGCAATTTTTGCTAAGCACTTGTTTTTAAAATCTACTATCCACAGCTGACAACTGATCATTTCCAAAAGCAGAAACTAAACTGAACAAAAATTTGATTCAGAATTCTCAAGAATACTTACACTAGACCAATTAGCTGCTACCTAACAACTAGACTAATGTTATTGTAACTATTCAAACAAAATTTGTCATCAAAAATGAGTCCTTAGGTCACAAACTTGGACAAATCACTTAGTTCTGCAGAGCTCTATAGTAGCCTTAAAGGCTACTATATTCTAAAATTCTAAATTTTAGATGACATTCTAAAACACTGAAGATACAAAGGTATGAAAAGCAGAAACAGATTGTTAACATTTAAAAAGTGCACTAGTGCAATTAAACTTAAACTAGTGTAAGTTTTCCCTGATAGCTAAGTTAGCCCAATTCCCAAATGCTTCTTTAGAAGTTCCATTAAGTTTACTTATTTTGAGTGCTCCAAAGAAAAACGTCCAGAGACAATATTTACTAATCATAATTAATACTTATCATGATACCAAAAATTTGTTATAATAACTATGTATACAGTAAAAATAAAACTTTATCATTTTGTATATTACACAAATGCATGCATTTTCTGTCTTCTGCAACTACCTTTTATGCATATTCACACTTCTTAATACTTAGCACTTGTTACCATTACACCCCATCAATGCCAGCAAAACCAGCAGAAGCTTGGGGAAGCTGTTATACAATAAATATTCCAAAGACACAGAAACATACTCAAGATTATAAATGACTGCTTTGTCTTCTGTTATTATTAAAACTATACAACACGTTCAGCTCAACTCTGCAAAAGGTAAGTTCTCTTCACATTAGGTAAGCTTATTTTGCCTTAGTAAAGCAACAGTTGCATAGATTGTATCTTACCATCCAAAGTGGACTGCAATGGTCCTATTCTGCCCATTCTTCTGACTCTCCATACATGTCTAGCAGATGGCACATAGAGCTGTGTAACCTAGTAAGATTAACATTTGATATTTAAGATCCTACAGAAGTAGAGTTTGAATTCTGAGATGTAAAATAAACTCTCTTACTTTGAATTGAGAATCAAGATAACTCTACTGGTCAAGATTACTACTTTCTTTAAGGTGTGTGGGCATTATTTCCTACCAAGTCTGAAGAACTGTCACACAGAGAAATGGAAATTTCAAACATAAAGTAAGCAAACAAGCAATAATAAAAAATAAATGGAAGAATTTATTGCTTTTCATTGCCATGCAACACCTCCAACTGTTAGAACATCTAGCACTGCACGGCAGTTTGCCTCAGACACAACTGGCTTAAGATCCGAGTTTTCAATGATTCAAAGGAGGTACATGCACATTCATAACAGCATTTTTGTTTGCATGCATACATACACAAGTTCAAGCAACTCATTTTGTTCAAAGGCTTTTAGGAAAAAAGTGAGCTCCAGGTGAGACAAGCACAGAAAACACAACTGAGTTTTACTCTATTTTGGAAGTAAATTTTGAGGTATGAATCCACTAGAGAACAACTACTCTATTTTTATTTTAAGAGCTTAAAATAATATGAAAATTAATTGGGGGGGAAAAAAAAAAAAAAATAATAAAAAAAAGCTACACAATTTCCAGCTCTCTGTTGTTGTAAACAGAGCTTAGTTACAATAATGCACTGTAGTGTAGATCCTACTTTATGACCTGGTAAAGTGATATAACACAGAAGCTTCTTAACAGATGCAAGACTTCTATACTACAGAGATAAGCAGTGTTACTACACATTTTAAACAACATTAAAACTGCAATATCAACATTGCTGATATTGTTAGGAATCAAAAATTAAACTTCATCACCAGTAATGCTCTATGAAAAAGAATATAATTACACTTACCTTATCTGCTTTAATGTTTTCTTGCTCTGAGAGCCAATGATTTGGTGGACAGAAATTTCTCCTTGTATCTCTTGCTTTCAGCATTTTCACCAAGTTTGTGATGACCTAGGTGTTAGAAATACATATATTCAATATACACTTAGTACTATGAGTGAAATTCTAGAAATTTCATGCTAAAATTTGAGAAAAAAATTAATAATACATGAAATCAGAACTTACTCTAACTTACCAAAGCCTACTTTTATATTTAAATATCTCAGAACATGACTAACTGTGGTTCACTAGTACGTAATCCAAAAAAACCTACCTTATTAAAGTCTCATTTCAAATTTTAAGAGCTAGGACTTAGTAATCCCTAGGACTTCACACCTATAAAGTTAAATGCCAGTTCAGCAAAGCCTAATCAAATCATTACCAGCACTGAATTACTTCTTTACAGAAATAATACTTAACTGGGTCATTTAACTCTGCTTTATATAAGTACATTTTTTTTTCCCCACTTATATATATAGCCTTTTAAAAACTTAAGCACATGAATAGATGAATGTTTGAGACAGATATATGTCTACTCTTTATTACATTACATTCCAAATCCAAGGTTCTGAACAATCTGGTAGATGGGTAAATTCTCTCTGTCCACAGGAAAGTCTCTCAATCTTCCATGCATCATTTTTCAGTGAAAATGATCCACAGAAGAATGAAACTTTTGCTTTCTATCTCAAGACTTAAAAGGTCACATACCACACCACACTAAACAAATCTTAGAGATCCATCAATTACAGTGGGTATGTCTGCCTACAGTTAATAAACTTAACTAACTAGCCAGCAGATCATGTGATGTGCACCTTAATGGTCAATCTCTACAGAAGTCAACATCAGTTTTGAAAATACAGAAGGGGAGGGCAAAAGCATTAAAGAGGCATTCAAAGTCACGTTTCTGCAGCACATGAAAGATGTGACTAGTTCTACTTGCTGCACTAACTAAAACCTAACTTCCTGAAGGGAGGTTGTGGTGCAAAAAGGTCTGGCCTCTTCTCCCAGGCAAATAGTAGGACCCGAGAAAACGGCCAGAAGTTGTACCAGAGGAGGTTTAGGTTGGATATTAGGAGAAACTTTTTCTCTCAGAGGTGGTCAGGCACTGGAATGGCTGCCCAGGGAGGTGGTGGAGTCGCCGTCCCTGGCAGTGTTCAAGAGGCACCTGGATGAGGAGATATGGTTTAGTGCTCGTGGTACTGGGAATGGGAGGGTGGTTGGACTAGATGATCTTGCAGGTCGTTTCCAACCTTGTGATTCTGTGATTCTGTAAAGCATTTTCAGCTAAAGGTGCCTCAGGGAAGCCATAAGCATCTGCCAATTATATCACCTCACTGAAGTGATCATCCATGTGGAAAAGCAAATGCTGGTATTTTTAAATGCTCTACATCTGAAAAAAAGAGACTCTGGGCTCCTTTTATTGTGGCCAGAGCTAGCTAGAAAAAAAAGTTACCTTAATGTATCTATCACTTATTGAATAAACTATACCCTCAAAGACCCTTCTCTATTAAAACAGCTCCTAGTGTGAACAGCTCAGATATTTCTACCTATTCTAAGCTAAACTCTTAAGATCTTAAGAGATCTGATTTAACAGATTCATAAAGTAAACATGCTCCTGAGAAGGAGCAGACTACAAATGGACAACTTGAAGCCTAAGAAGCACCTACAGTCTTGAAAATGTACAGGGTGGTGGGTTGCAATTTCCATTTCATATGTGCGTATGTATCACAACATTATTTACAAACTACAATGTGTTAAGTAAAAGCCCTTCAGCACGTTAAGTCAGTAAGCCCAGGAAAAAGTATAAGCATTCTCCTGGAAGCCTGTAAGGTAAAGTTGTTTAACAGATTTTTGCTTATCTGCTTGAATCAGTGAGTGATGATGTTACACCCCTATGCCACTCAACCACATTAGTTTAAACCACTATGTTTAATTCACTTTTTAATTCACAAGGAGCTCAAATCATGAAAGGCAAATTTGTAAATGAGAAAACAACAGAAAATTAGTTTATGCACAGCTGCATAAAAAATTGTGGGGCTGGGAAAAATGTTTGTCATGGTCACTGGAGCATCTCTGCAATTATACTATTTTTCTTGGCAGTTTTCTGCAATCCAGAACAAGAAGGAAAAGTATCAAGGTAACATCTACTCCATCACAAGCACTGGCATACTTGCTTGTATGCCTTCTCCCCAAAGTAGGTTCGGTACATCTGCAAGACAGAATCAACTTCAACCAACACTACATAAAATTAAGTGGAATCAATACAATTTACACTTAGTAGCCTCAAAGAAGTTACTGCTGCTGTGACAAACACGCACCTGTTCTGAAACTTAGAACTACAGCACTTGAGAAAGGAAGAAAAACACACAGCTTTTCTGAAGTAATCTTCCTAAAAGACAGCATTAAAAGGCAGGTGTCAAAGAGTGACACAGAGTTTAATGGGCCTTCTAAAGGAATCTGTGTCTAGATACTATACAAAAGACCTTTAAAGATCCAGCTCCTGTTGAATAAAAGAACAAAAGAATGCTATTAAGGGAACTGTCTGATTACACAGGAATTTTCATCACCTTGCCCTTATAAAATTCAGTGCAGGTGAGATGAGTCACTGAAGCACTGTGGTCCCATTACCACTATACTTAAGGGAAAAAAAAAAAAAAAAACAGAAAATTTTCCACGTGAAGACCGTGCTAATAAAGTGTTTTTACAAGCAGTTAAAGATGACCTAGAGGAAGCTGAATCAAATTAGCTGAGACTGGAATTCCTTCTACAGAATAAATGGGTTACTGAGAATGCTAGCAGTCTATAATTCAGACTTGTTTGTAAAATTTAAAATGTATGTTAATGAAAGAAAAGACTCAGTTCAATTAACAATAATTAAACTTTCCTTCCCACAAAGCCACAGGTGTGAGTAACCCTCAAAATTCTACTTCACAAGAAAGAGCAACTCGAGTTCTGAGTACATGAAAACAAATTTTATTAAGTCTATTAATAGACTGCTTTGAATGAATCCTGTGAAATTATGTTCTACAGAATTTGTAGCAGTTGCCTACAAGCCAAAAAAGAGGGATACTGCTTAATAAAGACATTTTCACATGCGAAGCCTACCCTTTCAATAACTTCCAATTTGCCAGCCAATAAGTCTGTTTTACTGTCAGCAGTTGCTGTTTTCAGGTTTAACATTGCCTTCCTGCTGGAATGTATTTCATAACAGACATCAGTGGCATGGAAAACTTGTAAAACCAGTGTGAGAAATTAAAAGCAATGTTAGGGAAGCAATGGATGATAGGGAAGCAATATGCCTCCATAGGCAGCTTGAAAAGTTTCAGAAAGGACAAGTTCTCATATTTGACACAGTGTAAATAAAAGAAAAATAATTTCTACTTCAACACCTTAAATTTATAATCTACTTCAGTTTTGTTTTAGGGTGGGTTTGTTCGGAAGATATTACTGCCTGCTCACTGTAAAGGAACCTACTTCAAAGTTGCCCTTAGTAAAGATTTCATGCCTCTTAATGGAGTGAATTTCAGTTGTATTGAGCTTTTATTTCTAATACATTTCTGAAGTAATACATTCTGAAGTAAGCAAGCAAAGCTCTGTTATCTGCATTTCTGGGTAAAACCAGTCTTCGCGATGCCCTCAGGATTTACACAGGTACATCAATTAATGGAAGACAATTCTGGCTCCTGAAAATATAAACAGCACACCAAGTTGATACTTGCCTGCCAGTGAGACAGAGTAACTTGAAATTTTACAGCTTGCTGCATGAAAGCACAATACGATCAAATTCACTGGAAATTTAAGAAGCTAACAAAAGAGTAAATAAGACAAAATAAGGAGAACAAACAGAAGATGGCATGTAATAAACTGCTAACAGAGAAATGTTCCTAATATGCTGTTCTCACTAGAAAAATAGACATACTGGGGTTTTCACTTGTGACCTTTAAATTGAAAGTTTATTTGGCAATTTAAAGACAAGTAATTAAATTAAATCGTGCAAACATATATTAGATCAATCAGTGCAAATTACAGATTCAGTGGTGCATTAGGACTGTATTCAAAGCAATCAAAACATTATCAGTTACTCTCACTGCTATTAATGCTTATGCTCATAAGTGAAATGTGTTGTAAAATCAGACAGAATAGGCTGGATAGAGGCTATCTTAGACTTGTAGAATGAATAAGCATTCCTTAATTAGCCCATCAGGTTAAGTGCAAGCCTTAATGGGCCTTTCCTAAAGTCTAGCATGACATCTTTCTCCAAACATGGCCAAGAAGAAAGTTCCATTAGCAATATTAATACAAGCTTAGTTGATCATTTTCATTCAATTAACTTCTTTCAATTAAATAGATAGCTTGACAAAAGCAGTGATAAAAGACCTGAAGGGACAGCTGATGACTCGAACTGAACATTAGTGTGCGAGAGGTCACCAGTATTAAACGGACTGTAAATCTACCATTCAATTTGGAAAATGCATTTCTTCTGCTCCCACTTCTTTAATGAGCAATTTTAGCTGACTAGATATGTTTGCTGCAGAATTTTCGTGACAAGTCAAGCACTCCATTTTTTTCAGCAACGGTTATATTAGGTTTTTCCCCTGCCAACATTCTGAGCTTCTTTTAAGCCTTAGAATGACATGAATAAAACTAACAGAAACATATTGGTAGCTAGCCAGAAATGATGTACATTTAGTTTAGATTTGCTAAGCCAACTTCACCATCTCGTTAGTATTCCAGCAAACCCAAAAGGAGTAACACCATCACATTGTGGTAAAACACCAACAAACCCCGCCTAGCACCTGGAGGTGAAGCCTAGCACCCATGTAGTGAAGCCTCCAATACTGAAGTACCCGAGTCACCACACAATCCTGTTAGAACTGCACACCCATGTAATGTTATAATCACATATTAAGGATCCTGCTGAACAGGATTTCAAGACAAAATATCTATTCTATACAGAAGCTTTCTTTTTTGTTTTACAAACATGGTAAGGAAGAAAATTAAGACTTGTGAAAAATAGTGTATCTGAATTTAATTACTCAAAGTTCAGCATACAGCCCAAAAATCAATCTTCCTGACTCCACAATCCTGAAAACTGTATAAAAAAAAAAAAAAAAAATAGAACTAGCAAAAATAAAATGTACCCAGTCTCATTTACTCAGACAACTGACACAACTTACCTTGAATAACTGAATCCACCTTTTTTGTTCAGTCTGTATACACTGCTGCATCTCTGTATTTTTTGTTACTCCAACACTTCTAAATGCTGCAATATATTCCTCACGAACCTCTGGTTTTGTTTCTGGATAAGCCAACTTTATGATTCCTAAGCACGCATCTCGAAGGCAGCGTGATAATATTACAAGCTCTTCTAGTGTAAAAGGCATCATTGATGATTGTCTCTGACCTACAACTAAACAAACCACAAGTTTAAGTTTTTTTCAACGTTTTCTTTTTTGCTATTAAAAAAGCACTGACTTCATTGGAACTCTAGTATTCACATCCAATCTGATATCAGTCAAAAACATCACACAAAAAGAGAATGAGAACATATTTAAAAAGCAATGACCTCGTAACTGTTTACAGACAATTACAATATTCTCTTATTTTCTTCAGCAACTACGTTAAAAGTTTGAATTAGTCTACAGATTCAGTCCAGACCTTCATTCTCTTCACCAGTTCATTGCAAATTACCATGATTAAAAACTTGCATAATAGACCCTGTAAAGCTATGGTTCCCATGGCGCAGACCATCTTTTTTTTTTTCCCCCCTAAATGCAATCATCATGAAAGAACCAGATGACAGCTGATTGCTCAGGGGACCATCAGCAAGTCAGCCCAAGCAAAACCTTCCCCACAGATGTCGGCAAATCATTGCCCAGGGAATCCTAAAGCTGTAAATTCCAGACGCTGAACAGTTCCCAACAAATTGATATGGCAGCAGACATTTGTTCTAGAATTGCCATATTAGAAGCACGTGGTGAATCTCCATTCTTTTATGAAAAGTAGAAGGCGGTTAATATTCCCGCTTCTTAACAAAGGATCACCCAGAAGCAACTGAATTGTATGGATTTAGTCCTCTAAGTCTGACAGTTCAACATTTTAAGCAGCCTTATTCAAACCTACTTTATAAAGCTCTGTTATCAATTACCATTCAAACTCTCACCTTCAATAGGATCACCGAAGAATTCATTATCATGAATAGAAATAAGGGAATGACTAAACAAAGAACTAAATAGGTAGAAGAGAGGGATAATTCGACTAGAGTCTTCTAAAGACATTGGGGAACCTCTTGAAATCACTTGAAGAAGTGGTACCATAGACCTGCAAATACAATATTCAAAATTAAGACAATGTTAATTAAATACTTGAAAAAAATATTAACTTTAGCATTCCAGTAAAAATATTAAATATCATTTCCTGTAACAAAATAGGGACTGCTGTCTCAGTTTAATAACTATGTACGCCCTTGTCAAATAATGTTGTTCTAAATTCTTGTCACTAAATTTTCTCAGTGTCTCAAACACACCAAACTCTGGTGTCAGCACAGACTGCAGGTGCTTTCTAGTTTAGAACCAAAACAAAGCAAAAACAGGTTAAGTAATATGCATCTTTGCACACACAAAATCTGCAGGTTCAATGCCTCAGTTCCTAGGGAATGCACTTCTGGCACCGTCAGTTTCTGGACTAGTCAGAGTTTATGAGATAAAACCAACATACCTGGGAGGAAGTACTGGAAACTTTAGTATTTATTACATTAGCACTAGTAAGCACTAAAATCTACACAAGACACCTGTCTTATTTTAAGAAATATTTACCATTGTTTTTTCTTACAACTGTTGAATTCCCAAGTTTTATGAAATCATAGTACCACTAATGTCAATGAAGTAGGAACAAAGCAAATCTTACAGTTTTGTTTTCAATCATTGTCCATAAGCACTGTCATGCCACAACCTGCCTTGTTCTCTTTTTAACTAGATACACTCTGCTCTAAAAGAAACTCAGCTTCCGAGATAGTGGAAATACATACCCTGTAATCATTCGTGTCGTCATTGAAGATATCAAATACCAAAGATGCCTCAGGAATCTGGCATTAAAGGCTAAACTGTAAAGGAGCCTGAAAGAGGAAGTTTAAATAAATCATGTCCGCCAATACAGCATATTTACAAAACACAATGCTTCGTACAGAACTTTACTGCCAAGCATTCCTCAAACATAAACAATTCAAGTATTCTTTTTCAAGATGGGGTTTTTACTCTAATCACCTCTGACGAGAGCTCCAAAGTTTCAAAACAAGCATATAAATCCTTGTATCTAATACAGTTCCCATTAACTCAGCAACAAACCACGTGATACGGACCCAAATTTGGAGTATTCCACAAAATTAAACACACATTAAATATGTACAACATGCTTGTTATTTTTCTGAAAATTTTTAAAATTTAATGTAATGAATCACATAAACACATAGAAAGGTCACTTCTGTGATTCATCTGACACTAATAAACAGAATTTTTTCTCTGCAAGTAGATTGTAATACCTTAAAATTGATACTAGTAGCAACAGTAGTTCTACCCATGTAAAATAATTATGTCTACAATTAGCTACACACAGGACTGACCTCACCATACCAATTCAGACATAATTTGGATTGATAAACTTTTTACAGAAGTGAAAAATAGAGAGCTTCTGATACTAAAAGTAGTCTATTCCTTTCCTCTGCAGGAAAAAAAAAGACTGGTAAAAAACATGATTTAAAACAATTCACACATTCTAGAAGTAAAAACAAAGCAAATCAGGACTTGACTAAGCTATCATTTTACTGATATTGAAGAACAATATTCAGTTAGCTACTCTCCAAACTATCCTGATCACTATTAGTAAAGATGGTAAAACAGACACTCAGGTCAACATTGTCTCTTAGATGTCAACAGTCTCAGAGCACTGAAATTTCTCATGACTGTACATACAGGAGGTAGGAAGCTGGGAAACGGAGCAGGGAGGACAGACAAGAAGGGCTGTCTGGGAAACCAATATTTATTACAGACCACATGGATAAATTAAAATTCGCCAGATGGCAAAATGAAAGGAGGCACACATTTAATTAAAGAAAAAAGTAAAATATTCAGTAAACACATAAGAACATTTGAAAAGCTTCTAAGCAACAATTCATTTCAAGACAGGAAAACGAAATCCCTAGCACACCCCCACACAAATACTGCACAGTGTCACATGCCACTGGCTCCTTGCTTGCTGGCTGCTTAAGCCCCATGGGCTCTTTTACTGCTGCCTTCTCTAAAGCACAGCCTTCTCTCATGCACCCAAGTCTCTTCTTCAGGCTCTCACTTGCCATGCACCCATCCAAGGGTGGGTGTACCACAAATGGATCGCGAGTCTGGCACAGAACAGGGACACAAAGAAGAAGAAGAAATGAAAGACAAGGAAGAAAGTCTGCAATGCATTTTTGCTGCTGTATCATCCCCTTTGTTACAAGAAGTGCAGATTTTAAATCCTTGTAATATATGCAATATTATCAAAGGAATTGGAAGCCTCACAACACAGTTGTGTGATGATGAACACTACTGAACTTGAGTCAAATTTTAAACTGCTGGAACTGAAGGTAGTCAAACGTATGCTTTAACTGTAAAACTAAACTATTGAAAGTATGCAGATTTTTTTTCTTCTTATTTTTAAATTAACCTGACTTTGATCTGTGGGAATTTTATTTTCTTCTAGATTCACATTATTTGGACAATGGATAGAAGTTACGCATTATGTAAGGAAGGGTTTATTATATCAAGATAATTTAGGAAAATAAGGATATATATTTTAACGTTTAAATAACTGAATGATAGCTCAGATGTCTTGGTTGCTCAGATGAGAAATCTCTCTACTGACCTTCAGTTTTCAGCCTCCTATGGAGAGAAAAAGCAATTTGGCAGAGTGCCATGAAGTCTCAGAGGGCTTCCAAGTAAAAACTTGTTAATTTGACAATCATCCCTGGAAATTATCTAATAGGTTTAGCAGAAATGAACAAACATTATGGACACTGAACCTGTAATAATGTAATTCATTTTTTCATTCTAGCAACATTCAGCAATAATTAAGGGAAAAAAGGACAAACCTTAAGAGCTTATTATAATAACCTTTGTCTGAGTTTTACCCATTTTTATTCCGTATTGGCGATCCAGGCAGCCAAGTGTAGCAGCTGCCACATTTTATGGCCTAATTCCAGAAACACTGCAAGTATTCAACTTTTGTGATTCCCTTTCCTGAAAATCAGGTTAAATACACCATGTACAGCTGGTAGAAGATGCTGTCATACAGCTTCTTTTGTCAATATAAAACTTATTAAATATGAAACTGAAGAATTCATCAATTATAATGCTCTCACAGTTACCAGAAAATAAATACATAACTAAACATATAAGACTGAATTCATCAGTCTGTTAAAAACAAGTATTACTCATTGCTGAAGGTGCGTCACCAAGAACCACCCCCTACCTTCCTACTCTGAGCACAGCATTTTGCTTTCAAAGTCAAAGGAAATAATTTTAGGAAACAAACAATAAAAATGCAAGGATGCCCCCGAGGAGTCACGTCTTTGCAAAGGCTGGAGAAATCAGCCGTGCTTAAAAAAATAAATAAAAAGTCATTTTTAAATAGCTTCAATATTTTTTTTTACTTCAAAATGAGAAAATCTAGAAAAAAACGCTCAAGTTTTACAATTTAAAGAGTACGAATACATAGAATTCAGATAGGTCAAAAATCTATTTACTCCACTGACTTTGGTCAGATAAGAAGTAAACGTGCATGTGCTATACATCAGCATTTCCAAATAAAACTGCATGAGATTGACACAACATAAAATAACAACGGAAGAGAAATTGCAGAAAATTAGAGATGGTTTAATGGGAAATATTGGTGATGGATGGATGGTTGGACTGGATGATCTTAGAGGTCTTTTCCAACCTTGGTGATCCCGTGATTCTACAGTTTACAGAACTTGAAGATAAAGAATCTTTAGTCTGCAAAGTCTGTAGATGAGTTAAAGTTTATATAAAGCTTGACTGTCCACACAGTCTCTAAACCACAAACGACCACTTGAGATAAAAAAGATCATAAAACATTTCTCTTCAACGCTCTCAGGAATTAATTTTCAATAATCTGTACCATTCAAAAAACAAATGAAACAGCTAAAACTTAAATTCTGATTTTTTTATCCCCTCCCATCTCCTTGTACTGAATTTTCTTGAGAAATCTTACTATATATTACCAATTCCCTATTATGAGATCATTGAATGTGGTTTTATATAATGGATTCACTAATAGATTTTTCTCATAAGCTTTAATACTCAGATTTATCACTATAGTTTGGAAGAATAACCATTTTTCAACTAACAGAAACGATGAGCTCCTCTCTAGCTGCAAAATGAAGACTGTCAGCTCAGGTTATGACAGAGTTAATTCACTCCACGACTTTCTGTGAAATATCTGTTTTACACGTGCTAAATTAAATTATCCGCTCACCAAAGTACTAACACGATGGCCATTTACTTAGAACCTTGTTTCTCTCTGTAGGCATCTAATTGTTCACAAAGGCCACGTGATTTATGTCTACTTGCCAGAAAGGTATTTTTGGGCACCTCTGGTTTAAAAAAAAGCGTCAAATTCCTCCTGCGCAATGGGACAGATTAAATGACCCATTAAGCTTAATTTAGCTGAGGCACCACTACAAGTTAATTAGTTAAAGGCAAGATTTTCAGTCTAGGCCATAAATTGGGCCCAGTTTCCCACTGAGACCATTTAAGTTAATGAAGAGAATACAACAGGACGAGAGGAGCTCATGCATCTGATAAAGGTCACTGTAGCCAGGCAGGGGGCTGGCACTGCACAGCTGCAAGGTGGCACAGGGATTGGAAAGCAGCAAGGCAGCCTTGCCATGCACAACATCACTCTGCAAGCTGCTTGGTGCTTCTGTCTCTTTGTACTGGACAAAAAAAAAAAAAAAAAAAAAAAAAAACAGCAGATGAAGCGTCAAAATGCAAAAGCTTCCCATACAGTGATTCTGGTTTCAGAAAAAACACAGGAACGTTCCCTAATGAAGCGCAGTAATAGCCTTACATACAGCCCGAGCATCTTCATCCAGCACATACAAGGACACAGACTGTTCCTATTACACCCCAAGTCAGTTTTCCAATCAATTCTCACCCACAGGGTAAGATGAGCAGCATTATGTAAATAAAACAGTGTCAAGGTACAGAACAGTTCAGTCAAACCAGCAATTACCACCAACCAGACTGCTGATAACCACTGATGTACCAATGGCTGTTTGGTATTGAGCTGTACTGACAACCTTTGTGGTATTCTTTAAATTTATTAATTAAATTAAATTAATATGTTATCTCCCTAAATATTTTACAGAATTTGAATTTGTCAGTGAAGTATAGCTTTTAATGAACAAAAGTCTTCCAAATCTCTTCATCATGATAATGAAGGCTATACTGACTTGTGAGGTTTTTTTGTGTTGTGGGCTCCTTTTTAATTGGATTTACTCACATCTTTCCAGAATACAGTCAGAATTTAATGTACCTAATACAATCCTGGACCATTTCAGCAAAAAACAAAACAAAAAAAAACCACCATCACACAGTAGGTGTTCTCCGATAAGCTTGAATGTGCAGAATATTAAAGATGGGGAGGAAAATAAAGTACTGACAGTCCAACTCAAAATCCACCACTGTCTCAGAGTATCAGAATGGAATTTGAAAGGCTTGCTCCTTCTGGTCTGAAGTAGACTACACTACGGGCTATTCTCATATCCAAATGCAAAGAAACTACAAAGCTCATGCAGTGACAGTAACATTCCTAGCAGCGCAGATCACCACCACCAGTCACATCACCCAGCTGTACTGAGGGGCCACAAGCAGAAAAAGCAATCAGCTTTAACAGCAAAACTCTCCATTTCTCATCTTTTTTTTTTCCCAAGAAGGAAAAGATCCTCAAAGCTATTTAAAATAACATTCGTTGTTTCTTCTTTTCCAAAGTCTGTGTCAATCTTAGCATAGTTTTTTTTCCAGTTCATAAACAATTATTTTCAGATATCAAGCTTTTTATTTAGCATTTCACTTCACAAATTTGCACAACTTATACGTGCTAATCATCATTATTCTACTACAAGTGTAAACGCTGCTAAATAAGCAAGGTCCTTCTATCAGGCTTTTCTATCTTTTAAAGCCTTTGATCAACTGTGTTTTTAAAAAGAAAATAAAAATTTAATGTATTCTAAGAGCTTAAAACTTTCTCAGTCATTGCAAATAAATTACTTTTGCTTAACTAAGCTATCTGAACTATTTCTACATGGCTTAATTAGCAGCATTTTATAGTAAATATTACTCATTTAAAGTTTAACTTCAAAAGGGTTAAGCATCTTGCTAAATACTCACTGAATTTGATACAATAATTTAGGCAATTAAAAAAAAATAATAATCAGGCAAAACGAATGTGGAAATTAATGAAGAAAATACATTATTTTGAAACTGCAGAAGGTTTATTACCTTTAAAATAAGCATCAAATATTCTTTCAAAAATACTCTGAAAGAGGAACATTTAGAATACCTGCTTGAAAACTTAGGCCAGGTTTGAAAAGCACTGAACAGGACAAAAGATTGACAGCTACTGATGCAATTATGCCTGGTAAACTCAACGTGATGACTGACACGGGAGTCACAATTAATTAACACCAACTTCTGTTTACCAAATGCCTGTATGAATTAATTCTGATTGTGAAAATAATTCAACAAGTATTACCAATAAAAACACTGTTTTTTCTAAAATTGGTAAATTCAACTACTTTGGAGCTGTACAAAAGCTGTAATGGAAAGCAATTTCCATATTTCAAGATGCTGACTAGAGCCTTCACAGCTTCTGAGTTTACGTTAACTACCTTGTTATCACAAATAATTGCAAAGACCTAACATGGCTTCTCAGAGGAAATAGATGCCATACTCAGACAGTTAAGTTTGTGCAGGATTTCTTTATTCATTAAGTGTCCTTTCCACAGTTCACCAGCAAACCTCAAGTCAAAGCAATGATGCATTTAACCTCAGTAATTACTATCCAAGGCAATGTGCTACTTTCAACAATAAAGGGGGTACTAATTCATTCAACTGCTGCTATGATCTTCAGGTCTCACATCCTGCTCTAATGCAATTAGTCTACAAAGAACTAATTACCCTAATCGAGCAATCACAGTTTCACTGACATCTTACTTCCTCTAACAGCTATAAACACCACTGAGCTAAGATAGCACCAAATTAGTTTTCTGTATCATTGTTTACAATGCAGTTTGAATTGATTATGTTTACAACATTCCCTAAATACTTAGTTTATTGCTAGCAACTACATACTTATTCACAACTACTTGCACCATAATTACTTCAATACTTGCAGATTTTTGACTGATGATAAAACAGTTTAAAAAAAAAAAAGTTGGCCACTGACACCTGTTCTAAATTTTGTAGCAAAAGTTGTGAAAAAATACTGCACAACTGAATTAATATTTTACTTCCATTTCAGGTATCAAAGCCCTTCCCCAACAACAATTTTTTTTTTTTCCCAATAGATTGGAATTGTTTCAGTTTGTAGCAAGAGAGATAACTGGCTGCACGTTAAAGGAGGCAGAGAACAAACCAACTTCTGCACTCAACTGCTTAGTGAGACTGTGGAATCCAAATCACTGTAAGTTTTAAAAATAAGACAGTATTCTGCAAGCATGACATTAAATGCTGTCTCTCAGAAAGAGGACAAAAAATTACTTCCCCAGAATCTCTGCCAACCTATCTGTGGGTGATTTTCTGATCACAAACTCTACCCCACAGTCCCTCAACACAATGATACAACTCACTAAGAGCGTGGACTTACACTTCTGGATTCAGTGATTTGTCCATATTGTCCATGCAATAAACATTCTTCTTTATTTCAGCTGATCATAAAAGATCTCAAGAAAAAAAATTTAAAAACAGTGTATTTAACCAAACAGCCTATCTAGTTAAACAAATTTTAGATGTACTACAGTTCAATGTCACTATTATTTATACTTGCCTGACTTTTGGCACCATCATTCGGTGTTGCACCATTAGCGTGTGGCAGATTGATGCCATCAAGGTAAAGACCTCTTCGCTAGCTGAATCTCTCCAAACCATATTCAACAGAGTGTTTGTCTGCTGCTTTGTATCCAGTTTCTTTAGACACTCCTCAGTAATGTACTGAACTGATATTCTCCCATCACCCTGTAAACATATCAAAGAAAAAATTCCTTTGAATTACTTTTAATGATCAAGTATTTCCTTTCTAAAAAAAAAAAAAAAAAGAAAGAAAAGAAAAAAAAACAAACACACATCAGAATTTTACTGGAACAAATATTTCCAGTCTGATAATTACAACATGAGCACATCTGTATATACCAGGAGCATTCCTGAAAGCATCACACTTAAGAGTCAGTGTAAATCCCTAGGCAGGCAAGTGCTGGATCATGGTTATTGATTTTCTCATTTAAGTCAGCAGGAAAGATTCCCTTTAATGCTCTTCAACACTTGAATACAATAAGGTAAGATCATTTACAGGCATAAGATATGCAAATACTAATCTCTCCCCCAGCTAAATCAGTTAGCACTGGGCACGAAGTCCAGAAACAGATGCCTCCTGTGCAATCTTTTAGAAATGGCACTTTCACATTCATCACCCATGGACTAACCAAAAAACTTCAGGGTGCCTAATACATGTACAGCTAGTGTAAGAATACACAATGAGGAATCCTTTTTGTTAGCACAGAACAGAGCAGAGCTCAAAATTCTCTTTTATTTATTTCCTCTTTCTACCTGGTCCTCAAGAAAGCAGATAATACCCTGGCTCACAGGAGGATAAAAGTTCCCATTTATTCCCTTTGTTGTTTTTTTTTTTCTTTTAAGCAAGATAGGTATGCTTGGAAATACAGAATACATTTAAAAAAAGCACAGAAGAAACACTAGAAAAATGTACTGCAACAAATCATATTATGTAATAAGGTTTCCTCAGAGATCTTCTCTAATTAACAAGTTACTGTAAATTAACAGTGAAAATAATTTTTTTTTTTTTTTAAATCTATTACCTCTTAAACATCACTACAGCAGAAATAGGATCTCACAGTATATATTACAGTGCATGCATGGCCCACAAATTAAATATTTGATTCTAAATTTGTGGAGTTCAAAAATGGCCATTATTTTGCACTTTGGACAATATATAATTTAGTGGGTAAAAAGGCACTTATTCACACTATACTGATAAAGATTTTTGAGTAACAGTGACACACTACATCTAAAAATCCCAGTTCAGCGTGGGAGACAAAAATCACCCACACATCTGTTTGGGTTCCCCCTGCTCCACTTTGTTTTGCTTTAATGAAGTTTGGTGCAATCTCACACACTGCACAAGAGAAGGCTGCACATTGCATTAGTCCTCTGAGTAGCAGTACATATTTTGAGAGATCATATAAAGGTCATTAAGAAACTACTGAATTTACATCTCTCCAGCTGCGGTTGTTCAAAACCTTGGTCTTGAGTGCTAGGAGGTTAAAGTTACCATGGGTTCAATTCATTAGTCAAAGTTTTACAACATGCTTAAACTCTAGTGAAAAGTCATTTTTACACTACTCTCTATATATCACTGCAGAAATTAAGTGTTCCACCCTGAAGGCTTTGAAGATAACGTATGTATTAACAACGGAGCTAATTCAACAGGGTAAAGATTGACATATTCTACATTCAAGTACAATGAGGAAAAAAAAATGCAATGTTGAAAATCAGATTAGCATGTTTCAGTATATCCTAGTGTCACCATGACCTTAAGAAATGAGGAGAATACTGATCTCTGTAAAATTAAAGCAGAGAAGTTCAATTTTGTTTTTGTTAAAAGAAGAAAGCTCTGTTATCCAGAAATCACACTACCTGAACTCTGCTATTATACTAAGAGCTTTATTTGTGCTTTTTTTTTTTTTTTTAAACAATCAGTTCTATTTGTTTGCAGTAAGCAGCCATCTACTCATAAAAAGTAAACATGGCTCCTGCTATGAGTATCTAGAAAAATACTGGACTTAGGGTGATCACGGTTTTGCCTGTATTTGCCAATACTGTAAATCAAACTCATTTAAAGAAATTCTATAATGCTTACTGGTGTAGTTGTCATTTTACTGATCTCTTCATCCTCATCTTCAGAATCACTGTTTGCATCTTGACAATTTGTACCAGCACTAGATACAGGCAGCTGAGAGAGAAAAGCCTGGAGTACCCTCAAATATACAAGCAGTCCTTCTTCTGAAAGGGATCCTACACCAAATACATTGAAATAAAAGATCTTTAGCCAGGTAGTTCTTCACTATATTTTAGTGGAAATATCTAACAAAAATTAAACACGTTATGCCAAACCCTCCCAATTAAGTGCATTTTCTTCCTAAAAGTGGAAAAATGGCTAAAAACACAGATCTTTAATACTTGTATCCACTAACTGCTAGGCAACAAACTAGGTTATGGAAACGCATGAAATACTAACTCAAATATGAAAAAGCAATGAACAGGTCATATAGCTTTCTCACCCAAATACGTTTCTCCAACTATTAGCACGAAGTAAAAAAGCCATGGAGCTTGATCACTTTTTCTTGAACATCCATTTTCTGCTAATAATAGTGCATTCAGAAAGAATTCATAAGGGAAAACGATCTGCACATCAGCCAGCGCTGGAATGATGAAATGGAATATCTGATCTGTGAAAGGTGCTGCCACAAACTCCTCTGTGAAGGCTGCAAAAATCTGTTGTCTAAAATGAAGAAAAAACGTCTTGATGGAAAATACAGGTGACACTTCTCACAAGTACATCCGTGGAATGACAGATCAAATTTTGCAAGTTTGAACACATTCACCAAGAAGACAGCAAAGTGACACTTCATTAATTCTGTGCCAGTACACTGAATGTCTCAGATTTTTTCAAAAATGTAATACTTACACAATGTCTTTTCCCTGATCATCTTAATCATAACATCACCCTTTACATTTAAAGTAAACACATGGAAAACTGTTCTGAAGTTACATTTAATCGTGAAATAAAAAATGAACTAAAAAATTCTGATTTGTGCTTTTTTTTCTTTTTGCTGTAACACAAAACACTACCACATGCAGCAGAGCCTGTTTCATTTTTTTTTTCCTGTCTTTCCACATACCTGACTCATTCTCCTAGCAAGCTATGACTTAGTTATTTCCCCTCTCATAAACCTGCCACAAAATTCTTAAATGCAGAGTTCTTTTCATCTGACTTTGGCTACATCTTTATGCTCAACTAAGTTTTTCCACACCGATGCTCCTTCATAAATCCTTACTACTGCATATAAATTGAACTGCACTGAAAAAACAGTTGGATGTTAAACAACAAACTGTGAAGCTCTGACAATAATAAATAAGTACACAAGTATCTAATATTATTTTTATTTACCTTGCACCTTCTGGACAGGAGCTGTATGTAAAGTGCAATGGTTTCAGAACATTCTCCAGAAGTATTTTTGCAAGAGGGACTCGAGAAACATCAGAATACTCAATACTTGATGGAAGCTTACTATTAATTAACAAATAAAGCGACTTGTAGTAGCCTGCAAATAAGTAAAATCATTATTTAAATTCATTATTACTTTTTTGCTTTTCTTTATAAAACAACATGTACTTACTTTACAATTATAACTTCAACAAAACTGTAATTAACTGCAAAAAGCTTTATCTAGGAATCTATATTGCAATAGTACAAATTATATTCACATAACCAACAGCAGATATCAGCTTTATCTTTGGAAGCATCACTTTATAAATTCAGATAAATAACTGCATTCACAGTCAGTTTGACTTTCGAAGACCAACCAACCCTGCTGATAAAGTGAATAATTTGATATATTTTTTGAAATAATGACCTATGAAATACATTCTCTTCTCTTTGACAGCTTGCTTTTTGCTCATTCAGAAATTAATTTCTCCCTCTACACAGAAACATGACAGTATCTTACACGTTATGCTAGCAAGGCTATCCAGTCTCAAGTTTACAAACACCTTGCTTCAGCAGACTGAAGAATACAATTACTGTTCCAAAACAGGAACCTCTCAGACAGTAGTAAAACGTATTACCATTGGAGCCACAAAGATGTGTGTAGAGGGTAATGTGTCTCACTGTCAGAAATTTATTTTTGTCTCGCTGCAATACAAATGGAATCACATGATTTCATTCTTCCTAATCCAACCTCCTCTTACTCAATGAAATCCTAAATTAAGACAAGTTCCACTACTATAGGAACCACTGCAAATGCATAAATAGCATTTTCTCTCTCATTGAGAGACTACGTCTGGAACATTTTGTCACAGTAACTCTGACAAACAAAAGCCACTATTAGGAATGAAACTAGGTGATCACTGTGGTCCTTTTCAAGCCAGGCCGTTCTATGATTGACAAAACTCATGTGGAGAATGAGCTGTATTTCAAAATACGTAATAAAAGCTGAATACAGCTTCTTTACAACTTAACCATCATAAATAATGAGGAGACTGCACACTCTGTTGTGCATGCATGCTTCTTCTTTCAATCATGATTAGAAAGCTGAATTTTTTTATTTTATTTTTTTTTTACTAAAATTTATAATTTAACATCCTGGTAAACCTTTATATATCAGAATGAATATTACACTAAAAAAAAAAATACTAAAGTGACTTTGAAGACATTAATTATGAAGTAAACAGTGAGATAGACACAAGTACTTCCACAGTCTTAATTATGCTTAGTCAAGTAAATTAAATGTGCTACAGTAAAATTCACTTTTTTCCCTACAGTAACTTCAAAATGTGTAATCTGCACACGTCTTAATTAGCCTAAGATAGACTTGTTTTACAGAACGTACTCTAAAACTCACAAGTACAGAATTCTTGCAAAGATTAACCAATTGGAAGGTGCAAGTCCACATTTTACATCCACAAAGCTGGATCCAGGATGTGCTTTCATACCATTTCTGGCATTTTTCCCCAGCTACCGGTCATTGCAAACTCAAGTGGTATCACAAAAGCAAATTATTTTCTTCCCACATCCTCAGAGCAATAACGTTTCTTCAAGACAACACGAATTTTGGCGATAACTACACAACTCATTAACTTTCAGTATGTTTGCACAGGTGTAACTGATTGCAGCTCAGCAAACAGTTTTGTTGATGATGCCACGAAGCAAATAAAGGTTAGGTCACCATCTCTTCGCTAAGGTGTCTTTTTCCAGTGCTAGCAAGAAGAAAAATTAATACCAATTTACAACAATAACAATCACTAGCAGTTATAGAGAACTATATCCAGCTACTCTCAAACCCTGTGGTGAAAGTCTGTATATTTAACTTGGGAGAATACTGAATTTATGAACAGAATATCTGAGGAATTTACATAGTCATTTCTCAAGCAGCGACCTCGTTGCAAGCAAAATATCTGTTTCATGTATGGGTTACGTATGTAGCACTTAATTTGTGTCTGCAGTAAAGGTAGAACGTGATGAAACAACACGGCCTTCAGGTATTATGCATTTTATTCAGTTCTTGAGTATTGTTGAGAACTTCTAGTTCCTAGCTACTCACCTTTCTGAATCATGTAGTGCAAAATTTGTTCAATTAGTGATGTTACATAGCTGACATCTTGTAAAACAGGTAAATACGTATTCTCAGATGAAAATACCTCAAGCATTCTCATAGGAAGTGCAACATTCAGACTGTCGTCATTGCAGTTTTGCAATAGCCTACAAATGAAATGAAACAAAAATAATTTATCAAGAGGTTTCTCTTATTTCATCACAAACACACGCACATCAACGTACAACCAAAACTACAACAACTCTCCTAATTAATTTTAAAATAACTTCTAAATGTATTCTTCCAAGTGTTCTCAGTAATTAACATCTTTTTGTTGGCACCATTATAATAGTAACCCCTGATTTTACAGAATGGGCTGGGAACAAATAATGTTTTAGTTAAACATATGACGTTTCCCAGAATGTCTTTCATTACAGACTTAAGTATTAAAAAGACACCCATCCCCAACCTTTTAGCAAATTTCTCATGGAACAACTAGGAGTAACGACTGAAACTGTGACAATTCAGAGCCCACTCAAAATTAAACTATTTGTTACAATGAGACACAGGCAGGCAGAGCTGCCCTTTCTTTCATAGCCATCCAGAAAGACAGGACATTAACAGCAAAAGTGACTCTGATAACACAGCTAAGGCATTTCACTAAACAGATTAAAGACACTTCGACAAGCACATACTGGCAGACATAGTTGCTATCATGCTTTTTTTTTTTTTTTGCTAAAGTTTTGTTTTGTTTAGTTTTTAAAATGTAATGTCAAAAGCTACAATTTTTCATGAAGCTGAGCTTACATAAGAGGAACACTCCACCTCATTACACGTCTCACCTCTTGCTTTCTGGGTTTCTGCACCAAACTGTAAGTAGCTCAGGAAACAACCCATACAGTATAGCAAGATTCAGTGATTTGAATGCAATCATTTACAACATTAAAAGGAAACAAGATTCCTCAAAACTCTAGAGAGTATTGTTAATAAAAGCAACCATTATAACGTTTCCAAAATTTGGTTTTAGATGACAGTTACTCCAGTAGTTTCATAGATTTACCTTCCACTGGTTCTCCAAAATGAACGTGAAAGGGTCAGTACTGATAATGAGTCTACTGTTGCAGACAGTAAAACAACTGCTCAACATGCCTTATGTCCAAAGCAAAGGAAGGGCGTTTTCAACATCAGTATTAAAATAGAACATCCAAAGCATATCCCTGGAAAAATAGTCAAACTCACTGGATACTTTTTGATTGCTATTTGTTCAAGAAAACCTTCTGATTCCAGCAAATACTTGTAATGACCTTGCTATATGCAAATACACTTAAGTCCATCCTTAGGGAGTACATTCCTGAAGCATGTACTGTATATGAACTTAGAAGCCAACGGAATTGAGACCATTTCATTTCTCTTAAGCATGAAAAAATGTCATTTATCATAGCCTATATTTATAGTGATCATAAACAGTTCTCTCCATTTGCTGCACAAAGAAACAAGCAAGTGTCCAATGCAATTTCTGAACGCATTTTAGGCAGTGGTGTACAGAAAAAAGAATTTACCTGCAACACAACCCCAACAGTCTTTTTATTTGGAATAAGCAAGTAAGTCGGTCTGGACCATCCAATTGCTTAACAAACTGAGAACTCTGCTTAATTAAATTCTGACACAGCCATATCTGGAAAACATACACACAAGTTTACTATTTATGACATCTCAGTTCTGTTGTCTCAAGCACGTGAAGAGCAGCTGTACGTAACATATATGCATGTTTTTTTTAATCAACACAGGTCTTGCATAAAATTGATCTTAAATGTATGCAACATGTATGCAACATCTCCTTTGGAAAAGTTAAAAAACATAAGACAACCATATCAGCTAAGGAAAAAAATTTTCACTGAACTATGTAAAACATGATTATTAACTTCCAAAATTAACAGAAATATATTTACAAATAACTTTTTCAACACATTTGTTAATAAAAATACCTTCAGAATTACCAGAAAGCTAGTAGGAAATTATTACTTTAAAACATTTTTTTTTTTTTTTAATAAATTACTGTGAATCACAGACAAAGGATTTTTTATTTCATAGACTACACACACACATAAAATCCAATTTTAAGTTATTTCATCTAAACAGAGAACAAGAGTGCAGGTCAGCAAAATGAACGTCTTGAAGTAATTAAATCCATTTCTGCATCCCTTCCTAAGCCTTCCAAGCATTCGGAACAGATCAAAATATATACAATACTCACCAAACGTTTAGAATCCTCATTCTGTTTATAGAAAAAGAGTAGCTGACGAACTAGAAGAGTCAAATTAGCTCCATTAGCTGTAGAAAAGGTTCCCCCAGTTTGGGCCAAATTAGCACAGCGATCAAATTCACTTCTCTGGGTAGAGTACTTAAAATAAAGGAAGATACAAATTAGTGTACTGATAATGGTTATGAATTTATACAGGGACGTGGCATTTTTAAGAATCTCATTTGTTTCCCATCCCAACTGGTAGCAAAGTAATTACATGCACCCATTCATTAAGAGAATACATACACAAAAATCTAAGGCCGTATCTGCTTCTTGTAACTCAAAAGGTACAAACAGCAACACATTTGTTGCTTCTCAAGTCAAAATTATCACACCAAGCATTTTCAACTAGTTTACTCAATCAGTGTTAGCAAAGGTAAACAGACAGAACTCTTTCCCAGAACAATCAAGCCAAGAGCAGCTTAAAAAGAATATCCTTTTGACTCAGATGACTACCTTAGTCACACACACCACAGAAGTTTTGCTGATATGTGAAAGCTGCAAGCATGTAAGTGTCAAGTCAAGAAAGTTACATCATCCCACTCAAGACAGCTGTCACAAAGGTGCTTTGCTGAATAAGCATTAATCTACTAAATAACTGAGGCTCAGCAGATGTCGAGGGACAGTAAGAACTTACACTTCATCAGCACACCAAATATCCAAATATGTCAAGATTTCTTAATTTTTTTTTTAAACAGCAAATTGATTTTCCACCAAGACTGCTTTACCTCTTTCTCAACAAACCAGTACTTACCTGATGATTTCTGTCTCTATAACCCCTTACAAATGATTGGATTATTATTGCATTTTTCAGCCTTCGCCTTTCTTCCTGTAAAATGAAGGAAAAATAAATTAATAGAAATAAACACTGTGGAACCAACGCTAATTTCTACAATTTTATCTGATAAATTTGTATTTGAAAGAAAGTTTCTTTAATTCAAATTAAGCACTAAAAAGAAAAAAGTATCTGATGTTCTGCATCCAATACACACAAAATCAGAAGAAAGCTTTTTATTGCTCTAAGTGTGCAATTATCACCAGGTTATAGCAAAAGAATTCTTAATACTCAGGAAGTACATAATACCACAGAAATCAACAAAAATACACTGACATTTTATTTGACAGCTCTAATGCTACAAAGCTGAAGAACTCGAACTCAGTGACAGTATTCCTCTTTCTGCACAGATCAGCTGACATTGAAGACCCACTGCCTTCTATTCAAGTGACAAATCTGTATTAAGAACCCAGCACAGTTTAGATTACAACAACAAGAGAATAAAAACAAAGCAAAACACACAATGTTTATTTGGACAAATCTGAAGAGAAATGAAGGCAATGCTTCAAGTCTAGCAGCTCTACAGGGAAACTACAGAGAAAAAAAATCCTGCTCTACTTCAAACAAGACAAAGAAAGCAAGTCAGAGTCATTTTATGAAGCCTTTGTCACCAACCGGAATGAGCAGTTATAAGCATGCCTGTGAAACAGCTCACTTTCTGGGTAACTGAAAGCCAGTTTGCTTCAAGTACTATGGAGAAAGTACTCAGCACATTCTCTGACAGCACCCCAGCACATCCCATCACAGAAATATCCAAGGGAAGTGGGTACTGTAAATCACTTTCTAACAACGCCCATACAGTTTGTTAGGAGATGAAAGAAAGAAGAAAATACTTAAACAACTCCTCTGAATAAACCTGTCCTTGAAAACCTCTGATTAATCCCTGAGCCCGGGCCAAAATGAAAGCTTTCTATTCCAAAAGATACTGCAGAGAAAAAGATACTCAACAGCAAGAGTGCAAAGTATGGGAACAAGCAGCAGAGTTCCAATTACAGACAGGCATTCTCTCTTCATAATCATAATATAATGCTTGATTGAAAAGTGGATATCTTTTCTTTCTAGATATTGTTTTTATCCCAGCACGCCTAAAGTCAATTAGTGACCCATAATTGCAAGGGTGTTAAGCCTAAGGTCACTGCTAAGGTTCAGCTACAGGCACTTTTTAAAGACATAACTGGTCTTAATCTCAGAGGAGTCATCCTTCTAAAAAAAATAATACTAATCACTCCTATACCAGAACAGTTCACTTGTTTTGTGAAGAACCGAGACCTGTGATCTCCTGTGATGTGCATGTCTGTGTGTATACACAGAAATATGACTGCACCAACTAGGAACTACTTGATACTACTATTATATTTATGAATATGTGTCTGAATGGGTTATTCTGATATTTGGCTAAATGTTTTTTAAGCACAAGCAAATCTTTGCCTACATTGATAAGAACTCCGGTGACTGCAAACTTGATTGCTAACACAGCATTAAGTAATCAGTGGAATGCTAGCAATCTCATAGCTAGTCTAGAGAGAAAAAAAAGCAATAACTATCCTCAGAAACGGATGAGCCACCAAAAAACTGCATTTAATCCAGCAAGACTCAAGCACATGCTCAAAGGAGCAAACAGCTCTGTTTTTCCTTGATTTGCATGAAAACTGAACAGTAGCATTTTTAAAACTATCTTCAAGCCCATGTTTTTTTATCCTCCTCATATCAGACAACAAAACAACGTCAAAATTGATACATTCACTCACACTATGCTACTAAATGGATCTCATTTTGCCACATACAACAGAACCACAAAACAGCTCAGGCTGGAAGAAACACATTCACCAAGACATTGTGCTTCAGAACTGAACTTTTTCCTTCCCACATGTATTCCCTCTTTTCCGCTTTGTTCCAGCTCAGATTCCCAAAAGGCAGTAACATACATCAACACGATTGATAAGATTTCCTCAAAACTCAGATATCAGCCTCACAACTGCTTCTCACTCTCTCAGTCATCAGCTGGTTCCAAAGAGCTTTATAATACATTCAAGTATCACTGTTTCGACTGCAACTTTCAGAACTGAGACTCAAACTGGGGAAGAGGTTTGCTGAAGGTCATTCTGGAAGCCACAGCAGAAAAAGGAGTAGAAAATGGCTTGCCAAGATCAGCCCACAAAGCAAAGAAATGGAAGAATTTACTAACCAAATGCTGGTATTTTCTCAACAAATGATCAAATGAGATCAAATGAGCATCAAAATAAAACAAAAAATTCCCTTTCCACCCAGTGCATACTTAATTATCTTCTTTTGAAAATCACTTATGGGAAGGACCAAAAAAGCAGCTGATTTTGTTGCTTCCAGTATACTGGAAGACTGCAAAGGATTTGCCAACTGAAAGCAAGCATTCCTGAACTAAGCCCATCCACAACAGAATAAAGCACTGGACTGCAAAGGTTACTGTATCAAAGACAAATCCAACATGTATATAAACAGGTTACTGTATCAAAGACAAATCCAGCATGTATATAAACACTTTTAGTTACTTTACCTCTCGTTTTCGCCTTTCTTCTTGAGTGCGATGCAAGAGCGAAGCCTTTTCCTCCTAAATGGCACAAAGATACAAGGTCATTTCCATTCAAACACAAGACTTCGAATCCTTCACAGTATTTCATAACTCTACTTTTTTGTGGGGTGGGATGGATTGTTCATAGTGTGTCATACACACAGCACTCGATAAAAATTAAGTACTAATTATTTCCTGCACTTGAAAGCACACCTAACACAGCCCTTCCCGAAGAACAGTGACAGTGGCTGTGTAAAAACCACAAGGACAGGCAAACATTAGCAAAACCAACCGCTCCACATTCAGATTTGTGTTCTCAGCATCCCAGTAAGCAAAGCAAACAGAATTCATTAATAAACGAGGAAGTGGAAACATAATAGAGTCCCAAACCTACCAGGTACTTCAAATGTTTGCTGAGCATTTCCTGGCTGGACATGTGAGCTACTGGCCCAGGTGAGCACAGCAAGCCGTGGGAGCTCAAAGCAATCACCTACTGCATCGAAGCTCCATGCCTTGGCTAACTTGCAAAATGGACTGGACTCCTAAATTCATTTATTCATTCCTCAAAAATTGTCCAGAACGGACACCAAAGTAGGCTTCTGTAACACAAATGGAATCTTTTCTTTAAAAGCTCTGAACTCCAAATTAGGGCTATAGGCTGAAAGTTTCAGGAGAACTCTGTCTTCAACAGTGAGAAAGAAGGGAATGCTGAGGGATGCACAAAGCATCTGGAGGGCAATAACAATGCAAGAGCAAACTCATTAGCTTTACCCTACAACCTTAAATGTGTGCACATTGGCTACAAAATATAAATAATGCTTTACTTGTGTGAATCTCTTAATGGATAGATCTCTGCTGTTTCCAATGAAATAAAATAATTCCCTTCTGATGCAGAATATTCATCTCCCACTAGAGACAATTAACAATGAAGCTGCCTGAACCCTGGCACTTTCCTAAATCCACTCCAGAACAGGCAACATTTTTAAGATATTTAAGGAAACATTCCTTTTTCACTGCTCTTACACACCTAAGTTTTTCTTTCTATGGCATTTCTAACCAGGGCAGTTAAGAAATAAAATACACTCAAGCTGAAAGTGTCCTGCATTTAAATACCTAAAAATAAGCCTGAAGTTGGCAAACAAATATTTTAATATTGAATCACTTCAAAAACAACTGTGCTGCAATATTTAAATGTCTACAGGCAGAAATAAAAACTGATGGCAGAATTCTTCTTCTGTACCTTCCCCAAAGGTAGAGAGGAAGCACCCAGTTTCATTAGGACAGAAAATAGCTGAGCACAGAGCACCAAGGACAATGAAAAGCAAAGCACCGATACAAAAAAAGGAACTTCAAACTGGATTTGTATTTCAGATCATCCACTGGAGCAAGCCCAAAGGAAAAAAATCCCACAAGAAGGTTAACCATCTTCTCCTCTAAAGACAGCATTTTACAGCCAAAGACACCACTAAATACAGCTATTGCTCTCTAAATACAAGGGTTTCTTCCACTTGTTAAACACAGTAAAATGAATCACAACAAAGTCCACACCTAAAACAACAAATCTCAACTCAAGCAACAGGAAGGGGTTTGTGTCTGCCTGGAAGTGTAAAGTGAAAAAACTGATCGCAAGTACATTGACAAAGTAATGTAATAAATTGAGAAATAACCAACAGATAACATAACATTTCATTGTTTTTCTTTTTAAACATACATTAATTCTTTTCCAATTGCTGGTCGGGGGAGAGCTGTAAGTGGGCAGCCTCTCCTCACTCACTGCATCTCCAGCTTTGTGTCGGGATCTCCCTGAAGGGAGCACTTCTCAAATCAATACAAATGCAAATACTTGCTTTGACTATTTCTGAAGGCATACATCACCTTCTTAGTCAGAGGCACTGCCCCAAGCCAAAGGATTCAATATACAGGTAAGCACTGCCCAACTGAAGGAAAAAAAAAATCTCCTTCAGAGTTACTCAGCACAATTTGACTGTATCACCACTTCAGAAGTTAAGAAATAACTCTATGAACGTGCAAAAGAAAAGAAACTTGCTGTGGGAAAGTGATGACCAAAAGCCTATGGCCTATGAAGGTCACTGTAAAACACTCACTTCTTACAGTCAGATAACCATACACACACCTCTCAAATCCCATCTCTTAACAGAGCGAAAAAGAGCTGAGCTCAGCAGCTGCTGTGCAACACAAGAGACCCGGTGCCCAGCACTGCCTGCAGCCCCGCAGCCCCACACACTGTGGTATGGGACGCACATGTGACAACTCCCATCTGCAGCAGAGACACAAATCCTGGCAGCTGGAGGACAGTACAACCAACAGAAGCCTGCAGAGATGACACCAGGCTCACGCCTACTCCCCACCTCTGTAACACCCACTCTCCACTTGCTCTCCACTTGCTTCTCTTGCTTTCCAAGTTGGCACTCTACTTTTGGATACTGAAAAAGGCAGGTTGAATCTACTTACCAAAGCAGGCGACTAAGCATCAGCTTGTCTTACACTTCCAACCCTAACTCAAAAGGAGGGGAAAGCCATTCCCTCAAACTCCTGACACATCCCATGACTTAGCCTTCACCCTTCAGAAGCTCAACCTGCCAAGCACAGAGCTGGGCAAAATAAAAAAGAAAGCAAAGAAACAGTGAGCAACAGCTGAACGCAGTGTGACCTTAGGGATGATGAGATAGAGTAAGAATGAAGAGTAAAGGGCTGAAAACAAAGTAGCAGATGGGGGACAGCAGTCGGAAAGGACAGCTTGCAATTGCCATCAAAGAGATGTTAAGTAAAATTTAGCATGCTAATTTATACATCAGGGTAAAAGTGGTGGGTAGCACATTAATCACTGCAATGTTGAAAGCTGCACTGCTGCTGCCCACGTAAGAAGAGCAGCATCCAACTGCGACCATGTAAATGGCTGAGCTTCAAAAACTCCAAGCAAACACGTAACAAAAAGGTGGAACAACTGTTTTCACACCTTCATTTTGCTGAAATGCATTCCTTTCCCAAAAAAGTATGCTCATGCAACTCCCAGCCTTTAAACACCCTAGAAGAAAATGGCCTAAAATCCATTGAATTGTATTCTTTTCATTCTGCATTTTAATACCTCATACTGCAAGTGTTTATAAACCTCCAGCTTTCATGGCTCAAAAATCAGGTTCAGAAAAGAAACAGGTATACTTTTTTTTTTTAACCAGTATTTGTCAAGTCCTCTGAAATCTGAGATTGAACATTGCTTGACACCTGTCTTACTAAAGGCATCTTAACTCCACACCAGACAACACAGAATCTAATTTACAAGATGCAAAGGTGAAACAGAACACTTATTTTCAGGTACTGTTTCAACATTGAGTACATTGAGAAAAAAATAACAATGGTAACAACTGAAGTATTGATCACTGAGATTTCTTTGTAAAATGCAGGGCTTATTCTCCTTTAAGTTGAAAATGCTGTTCTATTTAGCATTGAAATAGACTATGCTAAATATGAGGCATGACTTCTGGGCAATTTTCATAGAAATAAGGACAAATAAGCACTTGATCTTTTAACTTCTAAGGACAATTACAAAATCCTTGTTTTCCACCTGCCAAACACAGGAACTTCAATTTTTTTTCTTTCCTTGAAATAATGACATTTCAGACAAATTTAGCTTGAGCTACATGAATATCAATACTCACAGGTAAAGCACATGAGATGACTTAAGGAATTTACAGAAGCAAATTCCTTTCAACATGGGTGGTGGATAAATTCTAAGTTGGCAAACAAAAAGAAGATCTCATATCATCCATCTATAGATAATAAATGTAGACACTGTGCAGCTGCCCCTCCTTCTAAGTGCTTCTCAATTCCCAATACAACCACAGGCAAGACAAACTCCACACCCATTGGCTTTTTGAATGTTAAAAGAATTTTAAAAGATGAAGAGCATCTTGAAACATAGTCAGGACAATTTAAATTTCATTTGGGCTTCAATTTTACTTTGGGACACAGAAAGTACCCAGCACCACCTTTACCATGGTAGCAGCAGGCCACACACAGCAGAGCCACAAAGTAACTGGAGGCTCCAGAGTCCATGTGAGAAGGCTGCTTTCTAAATTTGTTCTGTTTGCCCACAGTACGTGTTGTTTTATAGGACACCAGCATTCTGAGTCACTTTGAATTTTCTCCAAAAAGAGCCAAAAAAAAATACACACCTGCAAGAGCAGAAATGTGTTTTGAGTGGGAGACAACCACACAGCTGAAAGCAGCAGTGCCATCACTGCTCTCAGCTAACTGCCACCTGCAGCTTCCTTACCAGTGAGGAGGATGTTAAATGTCACCCAGAGAAAAAAAATTCACGATGACCTCATATGCACTAATTACCTAATTGCCCTATGCACACTTCACCTGGAAGTTGAAGGAGAATATACAGAAATGTGATGTCAGTAACAGAGAAAAACAGAACTTTGCAAACTACAGTTCTTTGCTTATTAAAAACAGGTGTATTAAAAGAAATAAAGGGGACTTTGTGAAGTTATTCATAAAGCTGCCTCACTTTGTATTGTAATTTAAAATTATTTTTAAAAGTCTTGGGATTTGTAAAAGCACTTGTGCATATGTTTTAGATTATACATTTGACTTCAGAACATCTTAACCCTTTTTTCCTGTTAAAGGCTTACCAGAAGTCATTAACAGAGCTCATCATCTATATGATGTATGTAGAGCTACAGAGCCCCCAGTACACGCCAGTACAGGCACAGAGGATTCCCCTATGTGCTATGTACTAAAGGACTGCTGCCTCGTATTTCTCTTATCGCTGGCAAAATGCATCAAGGAACAGCAGCTCTGACTTGACCAAACCAAGCTGAAAGGTTTCTTGGATTCCCACTATGCCACCTGGACACCAACTTCACAACAGAGTAAGTGAAACCTGCATGCTGTCACCAGAAGGGATGCTGACACCACCAGGAGCATACAGTGCTCAGCCCTCCCCTGCCTCAGCCTAGTGACTGCTCAGCTGAAGGCTGGCTGAGATCAGCTCTGTGCTCCAACAGAACACTCACTCTGCAGCACCCCCAAAATAGGGTAGTTTTGCATTAGTTCAGTGAGCCCATTCACTGCTTGTAACACAGGCAGAGTTGGGAACCATTCGCTGCAGGGCCGTCAGCTCCACTCCTCTGTACGCACCACGGAATTTCCCCATAGCAATCCCTAATAACGGCATGCACTTTGGGGCCTACAAAACTTACTAAGTACTAAAAACAAAACAAAACAAAACAAAAAAAAACAGTTGTACCAGTTACAATGAAAGCTACATTCAAAAATAACTTCTGAAGAGCCTCATAAAGCAGGGAATTGTGTTTTAATGGTGACAATAAAGTCCCCCCTACAATCAGTAACAGTACAACAATTTATCACATTGTAAACAAAACATCACAACAGTATCCATGCTCTCTACCAAAGACACAACCAATAACCCAGATGAATCAGCAGATTTGAGAAAGATGGACAGAACAGTCCGCACGCTGACAATGTCATCTATATTTTACACCTATTATAAAATGTAGCATTAAAATGTTATGACATTCTGAAAGGAGTAGTCATTTTGATCTAATTAATTCTGCAATCCAAGACTTAGCAAACTTTTGGCAAAACATTAAGCTGGATTTCAGTGCTTTTCTACAGCATTCGCAACCCAGACCATCCCAGTGAACACAGGATGCAGACCTGAAGCTGCTGACTTTCATCATTCTAAAACATGGTAAAACTTAGTGGTGAGAAAGCACATTGGATTCAGTACCTTCTGTAAGAAAAGCTGCTAGTAATTAAAATAAACATTTCATACTGCATCTCATCATCCTTTTTTTTACACCCGTGTTCTTGTTTTTACACATTACGCATCATCAAGAAGGTACTGCGTAGATCTCAGAATCTGACAATTCATCTCTTCAAACTAATAAATCTATTAGCTTTAGTCTGCCTTTAGTCTTTATAAATTTATCATCACATTAGGACTGTAAGTTTTCTGTCATTAAAGTCCCACTTTAGACACAACAATGTTTGCATCATTGTGTACATGCTGGTAGAACTCAGGTGCCAGAAGGCCTGAGGAAGTCTTGGTACGTCTTCACTACAGAAGTAAACGGCAATGTCAGGTTGGCTGCCAGCATATGTGACTCAAGACCAACAAGGTTACCAGTTGTGGCTGTAGTTATTATTAGCAAAAACTCTTTTTACCAGTCAGGTTTGCTGATGGTTTATGTTGGTGTAGTTATATCCACATCAGAACGACACTGCTGGCATCTGAAGTGCTGGCTGACCAACTCCGCACACTGCAGTGCCTGGCTTTGTATCTGTGTTTTGCTAAATACAGCTATACAGGTACATCAAAATGTGGAAGAGTTCCCCAAATCAAACAGAAACTATTCCTAGCATTAAGCAGCCAGCATACAAGCCTACAAGTAAAAGGATACATGATCACAAGCAGCCTAGGACATGAGACAAGAGTCGTGGACCACATGTAAACATTTAGCACACCACTCTCCACTTTAGTGTGTTTACATAGAAGTGGACATAAACTGCACTCCTAAGTGATTACTGTTGCACAGGAAAACCAGCTGCTGTTGGGGATGGCCAGAGTGACAACTAACTGTTTGGCCTTGATGCAGCACAAGAATTCCACGTAGCACAGTAATGCCCTGCAATCTGTGCACCACTCAGTATAAAGCTGATCGATTGTGAAATATTATCCTTTTATTGGACTCAGTGAAGTTTATACAACAGTTTCAGTTTCACTTCCTTTCTTGTATAATATTCACTCTGATAAATTCGTACCTGCAGAAAGTTAGTACATTTGTCCCATACAGCTAACATGTAAAATGACAGAAAATTCTGTTGAGTTTCCATGAAGAAATCAGTAGGTGTAACAAGAGATACATCAGTTGTTTATTTTCAGAGGAGGAAACACGCTCTATAAGTAATGCTATTAGCAAGCTGATGCCAAAAGCTGCCAAGCGCCTGAAGCTTGTTGTCAAGGGCCAGGGCATGTTCTGCCAATTCCTACTTCAACTGGGCAATATTTATGGTATTTTCAACTCATGTAATGCAACTGCATGTGGTCTAATGAACAGAACTGTCTTCAGATAAGACGATTCAGGTGAGAAGCTGCACAATTTATATGCCATTCTGCTAAACATTCTTGTTACTAAAAAATGTAGGACGCCAAAAGAAAACTTTACTGTGACTTTAATATCACACTGAAGGTGGTTGAGTCACCATCCCTGGATGTGTTTAAAAATCGTCTGGATGTGGTGTTCACGTGCTCAGATTTAGCAGAGGGTTGTTAGGGTAGTACAGTTAGGTCATGGTTGGACTTGATGGTCTTTCAGGTCTTTTCCAACCTGAGCAATTCTATGATTCTGTTACCTTCCAAACTTATTGCCAAACCTTATATATTGTAGAGAACTGAACCTGCTTACAGTGCACAATAACAAAAACCTTTTCTTGCTCCCATGAAGATTAAAATAATAATGAAAGCAGCAAACAGCTTCACGTGCAACCACGGTAACACAAGGAACCAGTATTGCACCAGAGTGTCCCTGACACACCAGGCCTTCATCTCGCTCCCTGTCCAACCATTCAGCTCTTGCAATAGGACAGGGCAGTCAAACCGAAACAAACCACTCTGCTTCTTGCCCATCGATAAAGGCCAGCAGACTCTGAACTGCTGCTCGCTCTGCACACGACAAGCTGAATGTAAACCAGGGAGAGCAAAGCTGTAGTTACAGCGCCTTGACAGCCCCCAGCCGTGCCGGCAAAGCCTTCCCCAGCAGCACGCGCTGACCGTGGCCGTGTAAGGCCGCTGCCCCGCTCCGAGGCGGTGCCCCCGTGCACAGCTCCGGGCCGGGAGCCTGGGAGCGTCGTGTGGCCTGGTGGGAAGCAAAATAAACAGGAGAACGGAGCCGGGGAGCATCGTCAGGAGGAGAGGATTTCGGCTCCGTGGTAGACCTTAGTCATAGCTGTTCCCATTTTTTTTTTTAAAGGCCCAACGGTAAAAATAACGACGGAGAAAAAGCGAAGCGGACGTAAACACCGGAGACAGACAGGCGGCGTCTCTTACCTTCCTACTCGCTCCTCCAAGAGACACCTTGGGCCTTGTTTTGAAATCTCCTTCAAAGCTGAACATGTTTACCGCTTATCCCATCTAGAGCGGGACCCGGCCCGGAGCGGACACCGCCGCCAGCGCCGAGCGGAGGGACCGCCGCGGCCCCGGGGAGCCGCGAGCCCCCGGCTGGCACCCCGCGGCCGGCGAGCCCAGCGCCGCTCCCCCCCGTCCCTCCCCCGCCCCGCGGCCTTCGCTCCCCCGGTCGCCCCCCTTCTGACCGGCGGCCGCGGCTGCGCGTAGCGGGAAGGAGGAGAAGGAGGAGGAGGGAGGGAGAGGTAGGAGGGGGCTGGCGGGGCCGCTTCGCTTGCGTGGGGGGAGCGGCCGGCGGCGGAAAGAAAATGGCCGCCGCCCGCAGCTCGCCAGGCGCGCTCCCGACGACGGGAGCGTACGCGCGCCGCCCCTCGGTGACCGCGCGTCCGTCTAACCCGCCGCCCGCGGCCTGCCCCGGCCCTGCCCCGGCCGCGGGTGGCGTGTTGGCTGGGCTGGGATGGAGAAGCTGGGAATTGCTGAGCCAAAAGGCCACGAGCTTGTCTGAAACACCAGTGCTTTTAAATTCGTCCGTCCGTCCTTTCTGTAGAATGAGCCTGTGACGTTGCCGGTACCCCACTGCGAAATCCAGTCTGAAAACGGGATGCGACGCTGCTCACGGTCCCGTGCCTGCACAGGGTGTGAAAACTCACCAGAGAAACGGTTCTGAGCGAGTGGGGCTGGGGCCCCAGCAAGCCCGGGGAAGGGAAGGCAGCTGTCACCTCGCAGCAGCACACCTCGGGGTGAAACTGCACCCGAGGCTCTTTATGTCACATTCCTCAGCCCCACCGCCATTTCTCAGCGTCCTTTCAGACGCAGAGGTGATACGGATGAAAGCAATAACAAAAAGCATTTATTCACTCCGCAGCTATGAGGTGCTAAGTGAATCTATGTGCTACACTCCCGCTTTCATTTCCTTCAGTGGAAATGTGAGTTCTCACATCACTGTATCCCAAGAAGTGGCAAGGAACCATGATGTAAGGCTGTGTGCTCTCAGGAGCTAGCTTGTACCCCAAACCACATCAGTCTCAAAGCTGAGAGACAATTTGTTGAGATTTCTTTGAATTTTGATGATTTCAAAGCATATCGATTTTAAAGTTTCAGTCTTTTTAATGGCGCAAGTGCTTGGCAAGGCTGTATATGAGCTGTGCTTTTCCTGAGATAACATAGTTTTGGTATGAGCAAGCCTGGCCTATAAATACTGTTTACTGATGCAGCTGAGGTTTAGAGCATTGTGAAATACCGTGTCAAATGTTAATTCGCAGTTGAAACACGTTGTATTGCTGATGTAATGTCACACCACTGCTGTACAGTTTGGCATCAAGAGAATGGAGTACTCTACATAGGAAGTATAGCAAGCTTTCTTCCAAGTCTGACAGCATTCTTTTCCAATAGAGTTATCACAGAATCATAGAATCGTTTGAGTTGGAAGGGACCCTTAAAGACCATCTTGTCCAACCCCCCTACAATGACAGGGAAACCTACAGCTCCATCAGGTGCTCAGAGCCCTGTGCAGGCTGATCCTGGGTGTCTCCAGGGACGGGGCATCCACCATCTCTCTGAGCAACCTGTGCCAGTGCTTTACTACCCTTATTGTAAAAAACTTTCTCCTTATATCCAATCTAAATCTCCCCTCTTTTAGTTTGAAACCACTTTCCCTTGTCTCGTGACAACAGACCCTTCCTTTTTGTAGCCTCTCAAACAAGCCTGGTACATCTCATGCAAAAAAATAATAATAAAATAAAATAAAGTAATAATCCAGATATCTGTATCTGAGTTAGTTCATTGATTTTCATAAGTGGAGAAATTAACTGTTCAGTCATAAGTTCACACCAAAATATTACCAGTAGCCAAATTATTATTGGTAGTAAAGACAACTTAGGGAAATGTAAGAAATCATAGAAATGTGAAACTGCACACACAGAGCAGGGTTTCTGTACAACAGACCTGGGACTAATGCACACTTCGGTGTCAGAAAGACACAAAATCCAGGATGTTCCCTGCTGAAGAAGTGCCTGGTAACTGTCCCAACTGATGATTTGTGTGTGCCCCTAGAGGCCATGATAGGTGTAATTTTGTTAAACAAAGATAACTCAGTATAAACTGAGGTTTTGTATTTTGAATTCAGTGAATTTAAGGAAGCATACAAGAAACTAAACAAATTTTCTCTTTAGTTTGTGGAGATATGAGTCAGAAAGCACACTTTTTCAAGAAGTCAGAGTAGGGGGCTTTAATATTCTCAGGGAGCATCAAAAGCAAAGTGTGAAGATGGAGTGGGCACAGGTTTGATCCAATGACAGGCACTGCCCTCACCATACCAGGACATAATCTTACAGGATTCAATATAGTAGGCAGAAGCCAATAGTGGTTACAGAATTTGCTGACAGCCCCAGACATGGTGAGAGGAAGAGTCCAAAGTGCCCGCCCACAAGTAGCAGGAAACAAGAGGTAGGCCCAAGGTTCATCCAGGAAAACAGAGTTGGAGACAGCTCTCCTGGGCTGTTCATCAGGCAAGGAGTGATTGGGACTCCCAGCTGAAGCTGCTCAGGACAATTAAGTCCTCTTAGTGCATTCAGAGCTTTGACAAACAAATAGCTGTGGACTGAGGAAAACTGTTCTTCTATGGATATCTGCGTTAGCACCCACCTCTCCTGCTGCAATGAAGTTAGCTCCATATGCAGTTTCCCATCTTTCCCATCTCCTTTCTTATTGCACATTCCATGAGGGTTTGTTTTTTTTTTCTCCTTACAGTTTTATGTCCTTTGTTCCTTTTCCTCTTTGCACACGTATGCACACATTGCTTCCAGGTACAACTGGTCTGCAGAAGTCCAGTTGTTCACCAGACGTTAAAAAACTTCCATTATTAAAATTGTCTTAATTCCTCTGAGCCATACTGATCTTTTCTACCTCTTATTTGAAAGCAGGTATTTTGGCTATTCAATCTGAATATGTGAGAATCACCAATGACAAGTATTCCATTTTCAAGAAAATTCCTTTTTTTCCTTCAGTGTTGTAAGACATGTTTCCCTCACCATGCTCTATAAATCACTATCTCTAAGTACATATGTACATACAAAATATCTCTAAATAATGTCTCTAACTGTATGATGCTCTAAAGCACCTTTCATGCATCTGTATTGAGTACAATGTAGGTAAATCACTGCAACCGAGGAAGTTCAGTACCTGAAGTATATTTTGGTGTCTAAAATATCTTTCAGTATTGAAAGGGAGGCTAAAAGAAAGAAGGGGGACTGGCTCTTTAGCAGGGCTGTTGTGAATGGACAAGGGGAAATAGTTTCAAAGTAAAATAGAAGATATAGACTGGATACAAGGGAAAAGCTTTTTACAGTTAGGGCAGTGATGCACTGGAACATATTGCCCAGAGAGGTGGTGGATGTCCCATCCTTGAAGGCATTAGTGGTCGGGCTGGATGAGGCGCAAAGCATCTGATCAAGCTGTAGGTGTCCCTGTTCATTGTAGGAGGGGTTGGACCAGATGTCCTTTAATGATTCTATGGTTCTATGATTCTATTTCCCCCTCCTCTTTTTTTCAACCAGAGTTTTACCAAAACTATCAGTTTCAAAACTATGTAGTTTTGAAAGAAAAGCAAATGAATCTCACATCTAAGTATTGTTTTTTATCTTCTAGCTGTGTTGGAGCTAGAAAGCCAAAGGATCATAATAAAAGTGAAACGTTTTTGTTTACTTTTACTGTCATCTTGAAGCAAAGAGTAAATTCATAATTGCATTACCTTTATTTCCACAGCAACATAGAGCATCACATATAGGACGTTGCTTATCACACACATTCTGACTGATGAAGCTTTCAGTTAAGGTTACCCAACATTCTTATGTGACAAAATCATTGTCACAGGGGAAGGGAAATTTATATTTGCATACAGAAATAAGTTTAACCATTTGGATTGAAAATTTTCATGTCAAGAATTTGCTTCAGTCTGACGTCTGGAAAGTATGGTTTAAAAAATCTGAGTCATTTCTGAGAATACAAAAAAAGTGTTGTTTTGACTACAATTCAAATAAGTGGTATGTGCCTTTGAGTAAAGGTAAAGCAGGGTAGATTTTGGAGAAGCTACTCAGAGTTTGTCCAGGAGTGCTGTCTTGAATGCTGTCTTGAACAGAAGAATGTGCTTTTCATGGTCATTGTTGTGTATATTATATCCACAGTCTTTAGGCTAATTAAAACAAGCAGTAGATTCCTAAAAAGCTTAGTTCCTAGAAGCTCTGTGTGTGAGAAACAGATGCCTTCTGTGAAGTTTTATCCTCCCTGACAGGGCAGCATGTGGGGTAGGAGCATGGCCATAGCTGCAGCAGGACAAGAAGTCCCACTCCACTTGCTTTGTTTCTCATTACACATTCCCATCCTCTGTTTCACCAACAAACACAAGATGAACTAAACAAACAAAAAAATACTCTTTCCTCCCTCTTATTCTTTTTAATAGTTTTGCTATTACAACCCTGAACTGGTCAACATGAGACCAGCTAAGGTCCAGTAGGAGATGGTGATGAATGAAGCACACTCAACTGCATGGCAGTTTGCTGAACTTGTGCCTCTGAGCTTACTGCACTGAGAAAATAGGATTTCACCATGTACTAGCATGCCTGCTGTGGCTGAAGCCACTGCTCTTTAAGAACTGAACAAAGGGGAGCATTTTCATAGCACCCATATGCCAAATGTCCCTGGAGTGTAGATGTACTCTGGACAGAAATCTGTGTTTACATCATTAAAATCTGAATCATAACATATATGTCCAGTGACCCAGTCTCAGCATGTTTTACATCTCCTGTGGTGTGTCATCAAGGTTTGACTGTCTATTGCTTTTTCGCTTGAAGGTGGGGGGCAGAGAATGAAACACTGATAGACATTATGCCTGAGCTGAAGTCAGATTAAGTTCTGGCACTGGTACGGAATAGGGATAAGTTTTCAGAAGCTATGAAAATAATTTCTTTTTAATGGATGGCATAGAAATGAAAGCAGTGACACACACAAGCAGTCATGTTTGTTGAAAATAAGGGCAAAGTATAATTCAGTTCACATCAGAAAGAATTTTTGCTGAAGATTCTATCACAGGCTGAAGAGAATCATGGGCCTGAGAAT